AGCCCCATGGGAGAGTGGCTTTGGGGGGCCTTCCTTCCATCACGTCCCCTTTCCGAAGCCCGGGTCTGACTCCAGGCCTTTCCACTGCCCATCCTCAAAGCCCTTACAGCTTTAGGGAATTAAAAGCAGTTCTTCGAAAATGTACTTGGCATCTTCTTTTGTCTTTATTTAGACTCTACCTGAATCTTCAGGGCACATTTTCAAAACCAGTCAAGGAGCAGGCAAGACACAGGGGGAAACTATTTCAAAAACCCCAATCAGCCTTGGTTGGTTTGGCTCAGCAGTTGGAGTGTCGGCCCACCGACCAAAGAGTCGCGCGTTTGATTCTGGCCAAGGGCACGTACCTCGGTTTCGGTTCGGTCCCCGGTCTTGGATGGGGGTCGTGAGGGAGGCAGCCAGCTGGTGTCTCTCTCACATTGATATTTCTCTCTCTCTCTCCCCCTCTCTCTGAAGATAAATAGAAAAATATCCTCAGCTGAGGATTAAAACAACAACAAGAAACCCAACCAACCAAACAAAACCTCTTAATGATAATGAGCAATGATGCTTTAGAGTTGCACATTTTCTGAAACTAAAAATATTTCTCTAACGCATCCCATTTTCCCTGCCTTTTCTTTTCCTCCCCGAAGAAGCCTGGCTGACTCAGCTGGTGTCACGGGTGCTCGTGGTGGCTCCGGGGCTGTGCTCGCCATCCGAGTGCAGGGGGAGGGGCACAATGGCTGCGTCTCATGAATTGAAACGTCCATTGTGTGTCTCTATCCCTCCTTTCACTGGGTGACATCCAGAAACAGTGTGTGTCGGAATGTGCAGGGGGCAGGCGACAGCATGAAGCTAATTTTGCTTTTTCATTTTTGAGACAATCACACACAATAATAGAGGACTTGCTCTGCAGAAGAATTGTCTTTTGTCCTTGTCTCTAGGGCCTTGTCAAGGCTCATCTTTTCATCCTCCGACCGGGCATGTGTCCCCAGGGCCACCTGACAGAGGGGCGAGCTCAGTTCAGGAAATACCTTTAAACCAGCGATCAGGCAGTTCTGACGTTGGGGAGTCTGCCTCTCCACGCTCCCCATTCCGGGCACCCCCCTATTGCTGTGTGGCCTTGGCCCCCAGAAGTCACACCAGCTGACAGATCTGTTTCGTTAAAGGCTCATTAGGAGTGGATGTGGGGCCGCCAGGCCGTCGCTCATCACTTCCGTAGCTTCATAACCAAAGCTGCTGTCAGAACCATCCCGGTAAAAATTGATCTTGGTTTTTTTTTAATCCTCACCCGAGGACATTTTTTTCCATTTCTTGTTCAGATAGAGTGAGAGGGAGAGAGAGAGAGAGAGAAACATCGACATGAAAGGGACACATCTAGTGGTTGCCACCCATATGACCCAACCAGGGCTGGGGGAGGCAACCCAGGTACGTGCCCTTAGCAGGAACCAAACCGGGGTCTCTCTGGACCGCAGGCCGATGCTCTAACTGCTGAGCAAAACCAGGCAGGGCTGATCTTATTTTTTAATTCTCACCTGAGGATATTTTTCCATCTATCTTCAAATAGAGTGAGTGGGAGGGAGGGAGAGAGGGAGAGAGACATCGAAGTGAAAGAGACACATCAATTGGTTGCCTCTGCATGTCCCCGACCAAGGCCAGGGATGAACCGCAACCGAGGTATACACCCTTGACCAGGATCAAGACTGGAATCGAACCCGCAACTCTTTGGTCCCTGAGCTGATGCTCTAACTGCTGAGCCACCAGCCAAGGCTAATGACTGACCTTTTAACTGGTGTTTTCTTTTTCTTTTCTAATCGGAATTTGACTAGGACTTTCAACTGGGAGAACAAAATTGTTTTTTCCTCATGGAAAGATTTCAGGTGCTTTGTTTGGATTTGCCCCCTGGTGAGACCTCTGCTACCTCAAATCCCGCTTACTCTCTGCCTCGTTAATAACGTTAATAACGTGGTAGACCCAAGGCCAGAGAAACGACCGCCTGCCGCGTCCACGTTCTGTGGCCGCCTTCACAAAGTTTAGCTAATTACAATGTGTGCAAATGTTCCTTATTTTGAGGTTTGCTCCCAAGGTGGGGTTTCAAATAACCCGTCTATGCGAGACAAGAGTGTCTGCCCTCCCATTCCCTCCCAGACCTGGGGGTAGTCAGTCAGATTTCAAACACGACAGCACGTGAGCAATTTGCAGCCACCGAAGGGCTTCTGTGGTTCATGACAAAGATACCCTAGGGGCAGATGTTCTGGGCTCACTAAGGTTTGGGTGCACACCCCCCATCTCCCACCCCCCTGCTCTGGAGCATGTGAGGGGGACCTGGGGCCTCGGCTCTCCGCCCAGTGCTTAGGAGAGACTGATTTGGCCCATATGGCTGTTTGGGGATCTCCCTCCTTCCTCCTCACTCTGAGTTTGGCCTGAAAAGTGTCAAGTTGGCTGCATATATTTTGAGCTCCCACAAAGACCATCTGGTCTTTCCGATTCAGTTTTCAATATTTTTCTCAGTCATTACTTCCTGAGCTCTTGCACTGTGACCCAGTGACATCATAATAGTTCTCCTCAGTGGTACAGTGGGGAGCTTCCCTGCACCATGAATACACCTTTGACATCCCCCATCTGTGTCTCCTCGGGCTCTAACCTCTGTCTGGAATACCTTGATGTCCAGTCCTTTTTTTTCAAGATCAACTCAAATGTCACCCACTTGATAAAGCCTCTGACCACTTGGATGTGTTCCTTCTTTCCTTTGAATCTCTCACCTTTGCTACTCATTCGTTCATTCACTGTTTCATTCATCCATTCAAAGAAAGGGTTATCGATGCCTAGTATGTACCAGACTTGGGATATATCACTGAACTGAACGGCAGAGACATCTCCCTGTCCTCGCGGAGGTAGCATGCACAAACAGCACGTGCAACACATAAGCCAATCAGATGGTGTTTCGGAAGGAGATAAGCGGAATGGAACGTGGAAAAGAAAAAGCGGAGCAGGATTCGGTTGACAGTGCAAGGGGGAGGTGGGGGTGGGACGCGGTGACACTTACCCAAGCTGGCCTGGTGGTCAGAGCCCTCTGCACCTGCACCTCCTCCTTCTTCCCCAGCCACAAGGGTGGGGCTGGGACATCTCACTGATGTATCTGCCAGCAGCACCTGGCCCCAAGTGCCTGGTGTGTGGTTGGTACTCTGTACATAATTGGTGAAATGCAAATGAATGTGTAAAAATGAATTCGAGGGCAAATAAGGAAACCCATTTCCTATTTCACTGTTTATCCTGCCCGTGAAAAATTATGTTAAATCTCTGCTTAAGAATCTGAGATTCCTTCCCTGCTTATTCTTTTCAAGACAGAATCTGTCTCTGGAGCTCAGTGTGCACAGGGATTTGGGAGGTGTTGGTCAACACCTGAACTACTTTGTACATAAAAGAGAGCAATTTTCAGATAAACTTCAGTTTCGTGTTGACGAGCACAGACCATAGTTTAACTGTTTACTGCTTTGGCCAGGTTTTCCTCTGAAAGAATCATTTGTTAAAGTAAATAATTTTTGGCAACCAAATAAGGGGAAGCATTTTAAGAGTATATTTTAGTATCAGTTTGCCATGAAACACTCCAGGTTGTCTTGACAACCTCCAGAATTAATCAGCTTTCAGTTTACAAATATTTGTTAAGTGAAGTAACATTGTCCCAGGGCACAGCGATGTCTGCCACGGATTGCCAAGATGCAGATGACACGTGACCAGTGAGTGTGCACTTCAGCTGTTACCTGTGGTGTAGAGATTATGGAAAATCAATGCAGAAGAACTTCCTGGGCTGCATTCAGCAAAAAATGAGTCAAAAAAAAAAAAAGATCGAAGGCCGGAGTTGATCCAATGCTTTCAGCTTCCGCATTTAAAATGTAAATGGCTGCTGGAGAGCTAACTCGCTCTGTGTAATTTAGAGCTCTTAGGTCCATACCGCATCTCCCACACAGAGTGTGTGCCGTAGACTGAAAGGACGTCAGTCAGGAGGCGCCTTCTGGGGAACCCGGGTTAGTTATCCGGCGGAGGTCTCCCACGGGCCCGAAGGAGGGAGGGAAAGGAGGAGCCGGCAGGTGAGGTTCTGAGTCACCCCACCCCAGTCCCACACCTGCTCATCCAGTTGCCTCTCAGCACACTGTGACCAGGGTTACTGTCTCCATGCGTCCATGTAAGAGTTGTATGAAGGAGGGGTTCTGAGGCCAGAGGTACGTAGAAAGAAGTAGTTTGATCCAGACTGGCTGATTCGTTTTCCAGGTGAAGTGGAGAAGGTAAGACACACAACTCTACGTGGCGTGCACTGCAGTTCTGACAGCAGGGAGAAACTGACCTCTTTCCTTCTGTGTCCACCTCATGGGCTCAGTGTGGGCATCGAATGGGACGGACAGGGACACGCAGTATATAAGAGAGTCTGCATTGAATGCATTAGTCAAATGTAAGGGTTATCATTTTCTCTTTTCTGCCACTAGAGCAATCACGTAGGTTGTCAAACTGTGTTCCTGGGATCATTAGGGATCATTGCAGGAGGCTTAGGGATCTCCCGTCTTCAGTCAAAGCATCTTCCCTTTCATCTGTTTTCTGTGTCAGGCTTCTAGGTAAAGTTTCTTTTACAGGTAGGGCTCTATACCATTCACATTGTTTGAAAACATCTGATAGAGAAGAATTGTTGCAAGTGAGAATAAATAGTGATGTTCGTTTGAAATGCTGGTGCGCATCTGTGTCTGTTGAAATGGCTGGCCACAGACTATTCCGAGTGGCTGAATTCTGGTTCAGGAAGATGACTGCCATACATGTGAGCATCATGGACAGGTGGGCTGGAACCAAAGATGAAAAACTGAGTGACTGAAAGTCACAGAGGAGACCTGTGAGCTGCACTGGGACTTGGGATGTCTTTGAAGTCTGGGGTTCTCAAGGCTACTTATTTATTTACTTATTTATTTTGGTCTATGTGTAACTGATGTGGTAAGCACCTGACAGGCAATGGCCCTTTCTCTCCTGTCTTGTTTTTTTAGTGTACTTACATTTCAATTGACCAAGTTCCTAAGACTCATGCCATTGTGCTAAGCAGACCTGCCTGGCTTTGGGGGGCAGAAATGGGAGCCAATGAGCATGGCGTGTGCATAGCCAACGAAGCCGTCAACACCAGGGAACCGGCCGCCGAGACGGAAGCCTTGCTGGGGATGGATCTGGTCAGGTACTGTCTCTCTGAAACACTGCCCAGGACGGGTGGGCGATGGGGGCAGATTTATCTCCCTCCAAACCTCCTACTTTGAAACACCATCCTCCCAAAGAAGACGTGTGCCAGGAACTTTGATAGAACCTTTGAGGTGATGGAACAAAGAGAATAGATTGCAGCAGAATGTTATTCAGCAATAAAAATAACCAGGTACCGATACGTGTTACGGCATGATGAATCTCAGAAGCATTATGCTGAGTCAGAGAAGCTAGACACAAACGGTCACATACTGTGTGCTTCCTCGCCTATGAAATACCCAGAATAGGCAAATTCATGGAAACAGAAAGATCATTCATTGCTCGGGGAGCAGGAGCGATCCCCATGATGTGGGGCCTCTCTGGGGTGTTGAAAATGTTCCAAACTTAGCTTGTGGAGATAGTTGCACAACTTTGTGAATACACTGAAAACCACTAACCTGTATATTCTAAAGGGGCGAAGTTTAGGGTATTCGGAATCTGTTTAAAATACATAAAAGGAAAAGGATACAGATAAAATACACAACACACAAAGGGAGCGAGAACAGAGATCGTTTCCCTCCTTTCTCCTCCGTTCCTCAGTTGTCTTTGCTTCCTGTGCTGCTCCTCCAACCACCATGTGACAGGAGGGATGGCAGGCCAGGACTCCGCTTGTTCATGAGCACCGGGGCCGCGTGCCCGGCACGGAGTTGGTCATCGATGGCTGAGTCTGGAATGGCTGGCTCAGGAGAGGGTGGGCTGGAGCCGGACATTCTGGGACGGTTCTGTTTTCCGAGATGGTGAAAGAGCAGAGTCGTGGACGCAGTTGAGAGGAGACAGGGCTGCGAGCCGGGGCCTTGGTTTTCTGTGTAGATTCACCAAGTTGCATCACCTCTCTGGGCCAGTTTCCTCATTTGTCCAATGTGTGACCTTGGATTGGATGACCTCAAGCTTACATCCCGTAAAAGGGATAGTGACTTCCCCATTCTGTAGGCTTTGTAGGGGGAACTGTACGCTTACACAGCCCTGTGTGGCCCATAGCTTTTGCCAACTGATGGACAGGTCTGTTAGGGACCCCCTTTTGGTAGCGTATTACCTTCAGACCTTCCTGAAGGTCCTCACCGTCTTCACTATTCCTGGTTCTTACAAACTCAGCAGGTCCCCTGGGCTGCAAGGAGGAAAATGCCTCATATTTGTAATCATTTTTCTCTTGATTAACAGAATGAAATCTATAGAATAACAACACGCATTGCACTTACGTTTTGACAGCTGTCCCTATGTTTTTACCACCATACTTAATAGGGATCCTGAAAATGAAGAGTATGCCCCATTTATGCGTCAGGTATAACCTTGCGTTCTGAGCTATTATATTTGTGGTATGGGGTTCACAGCATTGGCAACAATCACCATTTTAACAGTTGATTCCTCAGGGACAATGGAAGAGAATTTGTTTTTTTTTCTTCCAAGCTTCTGAGGTAACTTTTTAAGATTATCGACCTCTGACAGCAAGGACTTCCTGAGTATCTCCTTGTGTTGGACTCTGTAGGCACATGAAGAAGCTTCAAAGCTTCAAAGAGATTTTAGTCTGGCAGCAGGATAGACAAAGCATAGAGCAGCGCGGGATTTTAGGAGGATTTAAGCTAACAGTAGGAGAGCTGAGTCTCCAGGCAATCAGATTTGTAGCCACGGGAATGGCACGGAATGCAGGGTCCACCCTCAGCAAATCCTGCGGGCTGCAGGGACGAGCACAGACTGCACATCGTGAACGCTTTGAGAAGGGTCCACAGGCTGAGGGGTGGACAGAGATCAGTCCCCAGGTGCCACACCCTGTTCCCCCAAATCAGTGCAACACTTGAACTCCACTTACTTCTTTCCTGCTTTCCGCCCTCTGGCTGAAGGCCGGGACTGTTTCCATGTCCAAGAGGTCAGGAGTCCAGAGGGACCTTGACGACTGCCTGATTGTGGGGAAATGGAAGATCACAGTTGACCCTGAACGACATGGGTTGAATTGTGTGGGTCCACTTATATGTGGATTATTTTTTCCAATCAGTACTGTACATGTATTTTTCTTACGATTTTCTTAATAACAATTTTCTTTTCTCTAGTTTGCTTTATCAGAACACAGCATACAACATATATAACATAAAATGTGGGGCAATCGATTTTATGTTATTGGTAAGGCTTCTGGTCAACAGTTGGCTATTAGTTGTTAAGCTTTTTAGGAGCCAAAAGTTACATGTGGATGTTTGACTGTGCGGACATTAGTGCCCCTAAGCCCTGCATTGCTCAAGGGTCAACTGTATCTGCCCCACATCCCTGTAAGAACACGTCCCCGTAAGGGAAGGGGTAGCGACTATATTCCTGACTTTACCCAAGGCAGTGATTATCTATCCACGGTAAATGTGGCTGTAACTTATTTATACCTTAATTCGGATACGAAGGGACAGGGGTCTCCCTGGCCTGTGGAGACATAGATATCAGAAAGAAAGTGAGCAGGGTCCCTCAACACAGGCAGGGAAGTGTGGTTGATTCATCTTCTTCAGTGAGATGTGGGGACATTTCAGGAATAGGCACAGTGAGCGGGACATACCTGTAAGAAAGGGGTCCCAAGTAGGGATTTGCCCAAGGATTTCCAAAGACCCCCAAAGGATTTGCATTTGAGAACAGCGGACTCAGACCTAGAACAACCCGGGCCCACCGGCCCTTCGGAAGGACGTGCTCTGCCGGTGACGCCAGGGCAGTTCACTGCATCCCTTTCGCCCGTCACGCCCCTGCGGAGGCGCAGCAGCTGGCGAGAAGCTAGGCCTGGGGCCAGAAAGGTGCCGCTTGCTTTCTGACGCTCGAGAATCTGCCCCATGTAGGGAGTTGGATGTTGTGAGACGCTACAAGAGGCCCTATGATGCTGTGTGACCTCTGGCCCCGGATCACCGTGGCCCTGGCGCGTCTGTACGTCTCAGTCTCCAGTGGAAGGTGAACCCCACTGTGGAGAGGTGTCCCGTCCTAGTGCCATGGCAGGGGGCCACCTGGGAATGGGCAGGTGGGACAGAAGAGTATCTTCTCCCGCGATCTTGGCATGAGGTGTAGAATCGGAACCATGCCTGCGGAGGAGTGCTGAGTCCCACTGAGGACACTGTGCACGGAGACCACCAAAGCCAGCAGGGGAGGGTGCTGCAAGTATTAGGGATCTCAGCGTGGACCACAAACCGGCAGAACAGCAGGAGAGCGAGTTAGAAACTGCAGAAGAGAAGTCACAGCTTCCAAAGGCGGGGCTGTTGCCCTGGCCGGGTATCTACATGCTCCTAGCACCGTGGCATGGATGGGCAAGTTGGGGGCCCTGGAAAGGCCTGGGGACAGGGTTCTGCCGAAGCAGTGTGACCAGGGACCACCAGGGACCTGTGGGGAGGAGGAAGGGGCCCTCCTGGGTGCACACCTGTGGGTTAGGAGAGGTGCTCATAGCACATTTGTTTGCTTTGGATCCTCAAGAGAAGATGAGTGTTCACTTCTCTGACCAACAGAAAGCTGACCGACTTCAGTCCCCCAGTGCGTGCACCCTGTTACGGCTCTCCTGAGGTCTTATGGGGCAGCTGCGCAATCACGGCCTTGGCACCAAGTCTTCCTAAACAAGCTTAGATTGCGAAATGCCAAGTGGATTAATATATAATTATCTGACTATGAAAATAAGCCTATTACAAGAATAAATCTGTAGCCTGTAATCCTTTCTTCTTCCAGGCAGCACAGTGAAATAAATGTCCCTTCAGAGTCAAGCTGGGTGAATTTATTTATTTATTTATCCTCACCTGAGGACATTTTTCCATTTTTTGTTCATATAGAGCGGGAGGGAGAGAGAGGAAGAGAGAGAGAGAGAAACATCGATGTGAAGGGACACATCGAGTGGCTGCCACCCGCACGACCAACCAGGGCCAGGGACAAACTGCAACCGAGTACATGCCCTTAGCGGGAACCGAACCCGGGTCTCTCTGTACCGCAGGCTGACGCTCCAACCGCTGAGCCAAACTGGCCAGGGCTATTTATTATTTTTTTAATCCTCACCCAAAGATATTTTTTCATTGATTTTCAGATACAGTGGGAGGGAGTGTGGGAGGGAGAGAGAGAGATACATCGATTGGTTCCCTCCTGCACGACCCCAACCGGGGCCAGGGATCGAACCTGCGACCGAGGAGTTGAACCCTTGACTGGGAATTGAACCTGCAACTCTTTGGTCCTCAGGCTGATGCTCAGCAGCTGAGCCAAATCAGCCAGGGCCAAGCTGAGTGAATTTTAATAAGGATTGCTTCTCAAGTTGAGAGTTCACCAAGAGCTGGCCAGTGGCCCTGTAGCCGGCTCCATCACCTCCTTTCTAAGACCCTGTTCCTGCCACTAGAATTGTGATCTGAATGAAGAGATGGGTAAATGGACATCTGCTGAGTACTTAGCACGTGTCACCCTCTTTCAAATCAGCCAGAGGGGGACGTTGCACTGTTTTCACTTTACAGATGAGAAAATCAGGTTCGGAAAGGTTCCGATCCTTAAGATCACCCTGCCAGTGGGTGGCAGAGCCAGACTTACAAGCTAGGTCCCTTTATTTCTGAGTCCTTTGTTTCTCTGCCGTGGGATGCTCCCTCTCAAAACGTGCTGATCACTTACTTGGTCCTGGTCACTTGTGCTATGTATTGTCATGTTCATTATGTCATAAAACCCACCCTCCTAGTAACCCAATGATATAGGTACTTATTTTATAGGTGACATAAAACTGAAGTTCAGCCCTGGCCGGTTTGGCTCAGCGGTTGGAGCATTGGCCTGTGGACCAGAGAGTCCCAGGTTCGGTTCCCACTAGGGGCACATACAAAAAAAACCCAAAAAAACTGAAGTTCAAATATATTATGGAACTTGCCCACGGTGGGCAAGATCTGTGCCCTCTTTAAGGGGTCTATCAGTTGGAAGGGCTGGGAGGAGACTGCTGTTTCACTTCAGGAGAAATACGTACTTTTTGGGAGCTGAAGCTGTGAGCCGCCCCAGTGGAGATGGGCTGAGAGGCAAGAGGAGAAATGGTAGAAAAAGATCCACGAAGTCCTAACCAGCAGCCCCTCCCTCCGGAGAGCTGGAGTCAGTCAGATGCCCCGGAGACAATGGCTGGCCGCGGAACACTATGACTACTAACCAAACTCCCGACGGAGAATAACAGCACAAGGCTGGGCGGGACAGAATTTTCCTCTTGCCCAGGGGTGGGAGGGTAGAGACAAGAGGGAGAATAAGCCAACAAAAGGGGTCTTGCTAAGAGCTAGAGGGGTGGAGGCTGAGCTCCTGGGGTCCTGACTCTTCTGCCTGAGTGGCAGGGGGTGCCCAAAGACAGAAAGCACCCCCAGGGTTTTGAACCGAATGTGCAAGAGCACTGTTCATTTGCCTGCACAGGGGCCGGTGTTTAGCACATTGACACGTGTTGGCATGCTTCGTAACTCAGCCTCGTCCCAGGCTTTGGTTACTATGGCAATAATGACGCGGTACGCTTCTGGTTCCCTTACTTCAGGCTTGGTTTAGAGAGAGGGTCGACAGCTAAAGAAGCCTTCGATGTCATCGTCGCCCTGTTGGAGGAACACGGCCAAGGTGGGAGTTATTACGAGGATGCTGGCTCCTGCCACAGCTTCCAGAGCGCTTACCTGATTGTGGATCGCGAGGAGGCCTGGGTGCTGGAGACCGTGGGCAAGTACTGGGCGGCCGAGAGAGTTACAGGTGAGTGAAGAGCTTCCCGGGCAGAAAAGACTGGGATGGATGTCACCCGGGTCTGCAGGGACGCGCTGCTGCGCACCCTCCCTGTGCTGCCTCTGATCTCCGGGCTCCTGCTTCTAGAGAGGAAGCTGGAGTCTCCTGACCCACAGTGGAGGGATGTCAACATTTGGGAACCACACTCCTAACATTTCCTATTTTCCGTTAGCTTTCTGGGCAGGACCCAATTCAGACTACTAGCAGTCTCATGATGCAAATTGTTACTCTGCTAATCGGCCAAGGGAATGGCGATTTTTTCCCCCATTTCATTCATAATAGGCCAGTGAATTACTCGGACGGGAGTTGCCCCTGGCCACCCCAGCCCTGTTGCTCTTAGTGCTTGGACTGTTCCTCTAACAGAGGAATTTGGACTTGCATGAGGACCTCTGGGCTCCTATGGGCCAACACACCCATGTTGCCGTGAGACAATGCTTCTAGAACAGCAGAGGCTAGGAACCCACCCAGAAGGATGCACTGCCCAATAAACCACTGCTCTGTGCTTCCTGCGCCGTCTGTTCTCAGAGCGTTCTGAGGAGGGAAATGCTGGGGGTGGGGGCGGCTGGCCTGTGTCATCGCCTCAGCACCTTCCTGTTCTGGACAGGGTGGGGTCCAGAGAGGGCTCAGGGCTTCCAAGAGGACGAAAGGTTCTAAGAAAGAAGCAGCCAGGGAAGCCCCTCTGTGTCCCTCAGGACTGGATGACAGACACAGCATGTTCGTGGCCTCTTTGCCCTCTTGTGCCTACGGCAGACTCGGCTTGTAGGACACAGAACTCTTCTCTTGTTGAACCTAAACTGGGCCTTTGGTTTTTTTTTTTTTGCTCAACTGAATTTACCAGGAAGTGTCTTCTGGTTCCTCAGAAATGATGTTGGGGCTGAAACCTGTTCGCCATCTCGGCCTGAGGGGTGGCTGGAACCAGGTCTGAGCTGAGTTCGAAGCAGAACACCTACTTCAGTGGTTGGGAATAGGCTGTGTTTTCTGTGGCCTCAGTCAGTCCAGGAACGAGTGTTGCTGTGGACAAGGGGCACGTGGGATCCTAGCAGAGACTGCCCCACTGGGCAGTGAGGTCTGGCTGTGGTTTGTGGACTGAGCTGTGCCAAGGCCGCGTCTGCCCGGAGGAGCAGGTGGTTTCTCATGCTCGCAAAGGTACAGCATGGCACCTTGAGGAATCTCCCGTGTTTCTCCCCCCACCCATGCCCCGCACACACCCAGCTGTGCCTGCCTGTCCTACTTCCACAGTAGCTGCAGAACTGACGTAGCTGGTGTGGCCCGCCAGGTCTCCAAGCCTCCGGCGACGCTGGAAGTTTTCCCTTAGGAAAACTCTCCTAAGATGAAGTCTTACGATCCATTGGTTCCATCAGGCAGGCTATGGGTTCATGCTGAAAAACAACCATACGGCTTTTTAATAGAATGTAAACCTTTTTGATCTATATCTGCATTTCTAAAGCATAGTCTCACTTGGAAATAACAACTGAAAAATCCATCTCATCAAAATGAATGTTGTCTTCCACTAAATAAATGTAAAAAACTCCAGCCATTCCTTAGACTCGATGATTCCATGTACCCTGATCTCGGCAGCAGTGGGACTGCAGTAGGACTAAGATCTCCGGCCCTGAAAGCAAATATTTGTTATAAATCAGCCCTCTAGGAAAATAACATCTGTAGAGTTATTCACGAGACTTAAAAAGTATCTTAGTGTGAATAATGTCAAAGTCACTTATTTAAGCCAAAACTATTTTTTATTTTTATTGAAAAAAATTATTTTACATTTAGGGTGTCCTCTAAAAGGTGAACGGCAAAGGCCATAAGCCAGGAATGGTTGCTTTGGAAATAGGTGCACATCAGTGAGGCAGGAGATACGGAAAGAACTCAGTCCAGCCCTGACCCTTCCTCCAGGAGCTGTTTTTCAGGTAGTGATAGCTTTATTGTAGCTTGCGGTTTGGGCTCTTTCTCTCCCTACTTCATTCTCCCAGAATTTAGAAGATCAACATGCTTCCTGGTAGCAGCAGCTAGGAATGTCCGTTTTGAGCTACAAGTGATAACTTCGTAGTGATCTGGACATCATCTCGAAGCTTCAAGACCAGGTTATCCTCAGGTTTTGGAGAAGTCGTAGCCAGCCTTCCCGTGCATAGGGGAATTGGTGTCCTAACACTCATTCCTCAGAAATAGGCATTTCTGATTCCAGACGTATTCAGCTATGCTTATTATATGTTTATGAGAAAAATTCCCATAGACTTTTCTCACATGCACATGACACAGGCATATTCTGCTTCCAGCTACATTCTGGTATTTTAAACTATTCATTATCAGTGCCATCATGTTTTTCTAAACATTGGGACCTGAAAATATAGTTGAATGAAAGAAGTATCATTTTTATTAAAAAATACTTTTACTGATATTTAGAGAGAGAGGAAGGGGGGGGGGGGGAGAGAGAGAGAGAGAGAGAGAAGTATTGATGTAAGAGTAAAACACCAACTGGCTTTCTTCTGCACAGCCCCTACCTGGGATCAAGCCCACAACCAGGGCTTGTGCCCTGATCATAAGTTGAACCAGCAACCCTTTGGTGCACAGGATGACGCCCAACCAAGACACACTGGCCAGGGCTCATATTTGTATTTTTAAAAAATTACACATATATATGGGCAGAGGGTGGTGGTGTAAGGTTTTTTGGGGGTAAAGCAACACTAAAGTAGGGAGGAAGGTTCTCTGTGGTTGTGAAATTCACAAGTCTTGTTAGTAGCTCAGTGCCTCTTTCAAAGAACCTTTCACTTTTCTTATAAGTAGTAAGTGCCTGGGATTTATTTAGCCAGAAGGAAGGGCCTCACATGTGTTCCCTTTGATTATGAATTGAAGATCAAGTGATCATTGCTCATTTATAATGTGGTATTGTCAGTAAGGATTGGTCAAACCTTCTGGGAGAACTCAGAAGAGGACCAAGGATCATCTGTTTCTCTCTTCAAAAATGGAATTTGTTTCATCCCTGTAGTTAAAATCAGATTGCAGATGAGAGATTCCCTGTAAATTTCCATTCCTTGAGTAAGTCTTTTTAAGTGTATTTCCAACTAACTGGGCTTTGCACTCTCTGCAGAAGGAATCAAGTGCATTTGCAACCAGCTTTCACTCACCACTAAGATTGATGCAGAGCATCCTGAGCTCAGGAGTTATGCTCAGAGTCAAGGCTGGTGGACGGGAGAGGACGAATTCAATTTTTCTGAAGTGTTTTCTCCAGCTGATGATCATCTACACTGCTGTGCAGGCAAAGACAGCTTAGAAAAGCAAGAAGGTGAGTTATTGCATCTCTTACAATTCTCCCTCTCACACCTTTTGTCTTGCAGCTATTTTAGAGAACTTGTCTGAACCTAGGAGGGTGAGCAAAGAGGAGGAGTAGAGAATAGATCTGGTATATAGAGACCAGCTTGTGCTAAAGTCCCTGATGCTTAGGCAAGATGACAACTTGCATTTATTCTTATAGGATGATTTCTCATCCGTGGAAGTTTCCTGCCTGCTGTTTCTCCTTCAAACACTAATGTCATAGTGATAACTTATTACAGCCTTTCTTATACCTCAGTATTTGTATATTTGACTTATCTTCTCCCTAATTTTCTCCTTCCATTAGCCTGCTGGTCCTTGAAGGCAGGGGAGTTGCCTTTTACTCATCTTAGGATCCCCTTGAAATGCCTGTTATAGTCCTTTGTCCTATAAATATTTATTAAGTTAATTGTTGAGTCGACTTTTCTTCATGAGCCCTCTGCCTTCTACCGAATTATTGACTTAGTTAAAACTCATATTTAGGTGAATATGGTGACTGGATAGCTTGTTACTTTTGTGCTCGAGTAGAAACCCTGCCAAACAGACCTCAGTGGTCACATTTTATATCTGCTAGTGATACATTATTTTGTTAAGTCAAACCTTTGATCATTTAAAATAGGGGTCAGCAAACCGACTTATCATCCGTCACCTATTTTGTAACTAAATTTTTATTGGAACACAGCCACATCCATTCACTTATGTTTCTGTGCTACTGGGGCAGAGGTGAGCAGTTGCAACAAGTCAGTTATAACAGAGATTGTATGGTCCATAAGCCTAAAGTATTTATCTGATTCTTTAAGAAGAAGTTTGCTGACCCTTAATCTAGAAGAACATTTTAAGAATTTGTCTGCAGAACTTAATGAATATAAGTTCATTAACTTATATTAAGAAGGTACAGAAGTATCTATTTTAAAATGAGAACTGTAAAGAAAACCCTCAATGTTTTAATATAAACAAATAAACAAACTAACTAGTATACAGTACCATGTAGGAAGTTGTCCTGCCCAAACATCAAACCTAAATCTGAAGACACCTTCAGATCTAGTACTGGTTTCTGGCAAATACAAAGAATGGGTGAACGTGGTAAGTAATACCCTCAGGATGCCGCGGGCAAAGTTCAGACTGGGAGACGACAGGAGAAATGGTTCAGCAAATAAAACATAAGGGAGGAATGAGAGGCAGAGATTAAGGGAGATTTAAGAGACATTATGAATTTATTGTATCCTGATTCAAATCAGTAAATTCATGTATGAGAGAATGAGGAAATTTGAACACTGGGTCATTGAAGAAATCAAGGACATATTGTTAATATTTTTAGGAGTGATATGTTGTAAATAGAAGCTCACAAAGAGAAGGTGGTTATGCTAGTGAACTTAAAGGTATCTTCTCCCTAAGAGATATTTTAATCCCATTTTTGTGAAATTAGATGGAGAGAATCGTGGTTCAATGAATTATAACCAGAGGAAGAAAAAGTAGAACTGGAATCAAGGATTTGTTGACTTATTTATCTATAGTCAGAGCCGAGTCATAATGACTCTGACTATTCTAATACCTCTCTGTGCATATTTTCCACTGCAGAGAGGTCATTCTCCAGTACAGCATTGATGCTAATCATTGAGGGTGTATGAGGGAGCTTGCTTGGTAGAGTACGCACAGATTGTAAATACCTTCTTATGGGCATCATTCCCTTGTGTTACTGTACTGGTTGAGGTATTTCTAACTGCTCTATCAAAGAGACTCTGAAAAATCGTTCTTGAAGAAAATGGAAGTAGATTTTCTCTCACGGTATAGTCCAGATGTGCATGGATAGTCCAGGGCTGGTAGGTTTCTCTTCCTCAACACATGACCTGCATTTGGGATTCACTTGCTGGCATCTCCCGCCAGCAAGAAGGGAGAAAAGGAAAGTGAAGGGCAAGCATTTCTTTTAATGGATGTGACAAGGATGCTGCACACAACATTTCTGCTCATCTCCCATTGGTCAGGATTTATCCATGGCCACACCTAGGCACAAGGGGATCTGGGAAAGGTAGCCTGTAGTTAGACAGTTATGTTCCCAGCTATAGTTTCAGGAGTTCTATTATGAAAACAGGAACGGACTGAATGGATTTTGGTGAGCAGCCTGCCGCAGTTGTATCTCCCCTACCTTTCTCTTCACAGAAAGCATCACTGTGCAGACGATGATTGACATCTTGCGGGACAAAGCCAGTGGCGTCTGTGTGGACTCCGAGACTTTCCTCACCACAGCCAGTGCGGTGTCCGTCCTGCCTCAGAGCAGAAGCTCACCATGCATCCACTACTTCACTGGGACCCCAGATCCCTCCAGGTCCGTCTGAGACCCAGTCATGTGAGCAGAAAGCACGTGCTACCCTTGAAAGCTTGTCCAGCGAGCAGACGCTGCGTTCCTGCACTGCCTTTTGTATAGCTGAGGCACGTTACTTAGTGGCTGTCAGCATGGCAAGTGCAGCACAGAGAGCCTTTAGTCACAGAGCATGTATCAAAACCATGGAATCCAGTTGCTTTGAATTCAGCAGACGTATCGCGTATATAACATGGGCCAGGCATTGTGCCGTATATGGGGAATGCAAAGCTAAACAAGACACAGTGAGACAGGGATTACAGGAATGCCCACGACTTGTCAAAGTAAGCAGTTCCTAGGAGTTAGAGGGCAAAATGCCCAGAGGCAAAGTGGATGGCAGCAACTTCAAGTACCCGGGCCAGTACTTCTAGACATTGTCTCTTAAGGGGTTGCTTTCTGCCCAGGAACCTCAGCAAAGAAGCAGTATGCACAGTGGTTAAGAGCACAGCCTCTGGAACTAACGGCCAGGGTTTTGAATTCCACCTGTCAGTTAGTAGCTAGGTAAGTTCTTAATATCTCTAAGCTTCTATTTCTATACTGTGCGTGGAGATAATACTAGTCCCTACTTTTATGCACTTGTCGAGCCTCATTTTTATTTTTCAATTACAGTTTACATTCAGTATTATTTAGTATTCAGTATTATTTAAAACATGGGCCTCATGTTTTAAACTACTTCAATATCAATAGGTACTTCTAGCAGGACCCAACCATTGAATTTAGTATAAGCTATTCTTAGTGTTTCATTTACTCATCTATTCATTCAGCGAGTACTTATGAAGCACCTACTGTGTACCATATATTGTGCTTTTTGGGTACTAGAGACCAAATGTGTACAAGGTAAGAGGCGGCACAAAGGAGATGACGAAGAGGAAACTTCACAGAGGAAGGAACTCGAGCACTGGGCATTGTCGGAAGAGTAGGAGTTTGTTAGGGACAAGAAGCAGGGATGACATTCTGTGTAGAGGGAACAGCATGTGCAAAAGCACAGAGGCATGGACACTTGTCTCCCAGTGCGGGTGACCCAGCTGCGTCCTGTGAGTGCTGGCAGCTGGCCTGGGGGGTACACGTGGGCATTGGAAGCATCTGGAATGCTCTGCTGAGGTATGGGCATTGTTCTGTAGGCAACAGGAGCCTTCGAAGAAGAAGTGGGTTGAACTGAGGAATGACTGTCGCAGACACCTGCTCTAACGGTGCTTAGATGACAGGCCTCTGCGATGCTGGGACAGTAAAATAGAGGAATTCTCTTTCCTGGGCCGAAGGGCGGGGCCTAATACAATTAGAGAAACGGGCTGGGAAATAACCTTCAAATATTTAAAATGGAAAAGTTCAAGTAACTTTAACAGTAAATTATTCATGGGTCAAATTCATTAAAAAGACCTTACAGAAGATTAAGAGCTCTCCGGAAGGCATTCATTTTTATCTTCTGTGGTTAAATGAGCTGTGTTTCCTACTGGGACTGTAGAACTGTCATAGGTATTTTTTCCTAGTCAACATCTCAATTTTTCTCTGTAATGGGGCATGTCGAACATTTTGTATTTTGTCAGCAGAAAGCATAATTACCTACTCTTGGGTTTTTAGAGAGTAAAATTGGGGACATTTAGCTGGCTCTGTTAGCGCGGAAAACAGTAGAGGTGTGTGCAGGGTTCCAGCGCAGGGCACTGCGGCCGGTTCTGAGCACAGAGCAGGGCTGTCCCGTTGTCCCTCCGGCTCGCGTTAGAGACCATGGGACACGAGCTGACTGTTGTTCCGTCTGCTGCTGCACTTGTCCGCCCTCCACTCGCTGGGTTAATCATTATCTGTTTCTCAAGTCAACCTGTCCTCACATTCTCTTTCCTCTCCTCCTTCCCACCTTACTTTTCTCCCCGCCTCCCAGCAAGTGCCGGGTACCATGTAAGTTTGAGAGTTGGAAGCAGGTGCAAAAGTCGGAGTTTGAGAGCTAGAAGGAGACACAAAAGATCTTCAATTAGCTTATCAAAAAGGCAAAGTCCATCTTATCAGTAACCTGCTGCGTCGGCTGGTGCCCGAATCATCCATATAGTGACACCGACTGGCTTTTGTGCTCTGGGTTCTGACCTTTGGAAACCATGTCCCAGTTGGAGGCCAGTATAAGCCCCATTGATGTGAAGAATCGCAGAGGGAGAGTGGAGAGGAACCTTCGGAGTTTGAAACTGTCAAATTCAGGGTCCTGCAGTGCACGGGAGTCAGTGAGAGCTGGTTATGTGCGTCCTTCCTGGCCCTGTGTTCAGTGATGTCGCATCGGTAGCTTGAAATGGGCCACGGTGGGCGTATTTACACCACAGAAATTGGCAGACACCGTGAACCAGGGCTTATGTATTTATTTATTTGAGATATTGTTGTCAAACCAGCACACCACTGAGAGGTCCTCACATCTGGGAAAACACACAAATATTCAACATACAGGGTGGAAAAACCAAGAGGGGGAGAAAATGTAAACATTTTCCAGTTTGTTTTTATTTATTTATTTTTTCACATGTTTAAAAGCCATTTTAATGTCTGTACATGTCTTTTGTTCATATTTATGTAATTTTTGGTATTTTCCCACTTAATTTTTATATATTTGAGGTATAATTTTTATGATCTGTATTTCAAATATTTCCCTAAATTTGTCCTTAACATTTTCCATTTTAAATATTAGAAGGGCTATTTCCCAAGCCATTTCCCTAATTGTGTTAGGCCGTGTACTTCAGCCCAGGAAATAGAAAATGGGGAAGAAGTTCTAGGGAAATAGGGTGTTTGATGTACTTTAGTGGCAAGGAGCGGGGAAGATGCAAGGCATGTGGTGTGTGTGTGTGGTTGGGGGGGTTCCCCTGCCCCCAGTATACCAGGCACAGGATGAGCCTGGCTGAGTCTGGGGGAGGTTCTGCACCTTCAGTAAGAACAGAGTCACGTTTGAAGTCAGAAGTGTTGGCTGGCACAGATATTAAAATTCCAAATCCCAAAGCACAAAATGTATTTTATTCTTCTGCAGTAGCACAGGGTGTATATAAATAAAGCAACAGAATGAGGTAGTGGGGAAAAAACTGACCTTGGCTTTAGAAGATTTGGCTCTTGATCTGCCACTCATTAGGAATGAGTCTTTGGACCAAGCTCTTAGGTTCTGTGAGGCTCAGTCATCTCATCTGTAAAATGGGACAGAAGCTTTTGCTCTGCCTTGTTCACTGCTGTAACCCTAGTACCTAGAACAGAATCTGATACTCCACCAGCACTCAGCATGTATTTACTGGAGGAAGGAAGGAAAGGAGGGAGGCAGGAAGGAAAGAAGGAGGGAGGAAGGAGGAAGAAAGGGAGGGAGGGAGGGAGGAAAGAGTAAATGAATGAATGAGTGAATGAGTAGAGGTACCATGGGAACTAAATGCAAACACTTTGGAAATGATGATACACTTTAAAATGTTAGTGATTTTCATTACAATTTTGTTTTCCTTCTAAATGAGAAAACAAGTGAGGAACACAGATATTTTTTGCACTGGCTTGCTGCATCCATCACAAGATTTTAGGAGAGAAAAGAGACAGAGAAGGCCAAGACACCTCCAGGGGAGCCTGGCTGTGGCTCACAGTGGCACCTGAGGCTGAAGTCCCGCAGACGTCTGACACAGACTTTGGCAGCCTAGATGGTGCTTCACGTCCTCAGGCTTGATGCCTTGGCCCTCAGATGAGTCTCAGTGACAGCGGAGAGAAGGGACACGGTTTCCTTTAGTGTTGCCGATGCCTCCTTTGTGTCATTGCCCTTCACAAGGGCGCGTTCAGAGTAGCTCAGCCACCTTGAAACCCCCGTTAGCCAGCTGCCCGGCTGCCCTTTGCAGCATTCTTCCCCTTTAGGCCTGTCATCTTGTATTCATGTCACCATGCACCACGGAGGGGCTGGGCGACCAGGCGGATTCCCAGTTAGGTGACTTCTCTGAAGGTCAGTCTGAGCAGCAGCCTGAGGACAGAGCAGAATGAGCTTGTGGGAGCCCTCCGAGCCAGCACGGGACACTCGGGTGCCCCCACGTGTGGTGAGTGTGCCCTGCCTCACCTGGCTGGGTTGAGGGATGCTCACAACCAGATGGCAGTTTCAACTTCGCCACTAGCTGGGTATGTGACCTTGGTCAAGTCATTTCATCTCTCTGGGTTATTAATTGTCCTACATTCAGTCAAGTGGCGTTTAAGAAACTGCCATCTGAGGTTTACATGTGGGAAAATGCCAGAGAGTCTCTTCACCTATTTGGACTTTTAATGTGATTTCCTATAAGGACTGGCAAGAACAGAAGGTTTGGGAACCACCGAGTTGTCCACATTTCCCATTTCTGGATACGTAAACATATTTTCAAGCCCGAACTATTGATAATTCCCGGATTCTGGTTTAAATAAATATTAGTATTATTGCAACTTATTATCAGCAGTAATTTTAATTTATTCAATTTCAGAAAAGATCCCCCTTTAACCACCTGACAAATCGATGCTTTAGTTTTTTAGTAGTTGAGGATGCCGACTTCCTCCTATTTTTTTTTTTTATCCTCACCCGAGGACATTTTTCCATTTTTTGCACAGACAGAGTGGGAGGGAGAGAGAGGAAGAGAGAGAGGGAAACATCGACGCGAAAGGGACACATTGAGTGGCTGCCACCCGCACGACCAACCAGGGCCGGGGACAAACTGCAACTGAGGTACATGCCCTTAGCGGGAACCGAACCCTTGTCTCTCAGGACCGCAGACGGATGCTCTAACCGCTGAGCCAAACCGGCCAGGGCCCGACTTCCTTATAGAGTTTGGAAAGATAATTCTTGGAGAGCTTTGGAATATTATAGGAAGCTCATCATATTTATCATTTATATTTAAGAATTACACTGATAAATGGGAGGGAGAAACATGTGGTACCTCTTGTCTTAGAAAAGCCTCCTGATGCCCTCTCTGATGTTAGGGTAACCTCCCCATTCTAGTCAGTGTGGAGTGGGTTCCAAGTCCCATCACAGAACAGTCTGACCTTTTACTGTTCGCTCATCCTACGTAGGATGCAGAAGACCATGACCGTGCTTACCATGAACTTCCTGAAGTCAGAGTCATAAGCACACGGGCTGCACAGCATCGAAAGAGAAAAATACAATAGGTTCAGAAGGTGGCAGGGACCACGGAGATCATTTTAGTCCAGATGAGAGACAAAGGAGGAAGAGGGTGAGCCCACAGTTGGTTAGAGGTGAAGAGGGGACACACCCCCCCCATTCTGAGTCCCAACCCAGAGCCCTGCCCCCGCTGTCATGAGTCAGGCAGACCCAGGATTGCAGCTTAGCCAGCGGGTGCTGCTAGGCTGTCCCGCTGTGGGCCTCAGTGCCGAGGTCCTTCCCCATGGGGCTGTTGTCTCAGATGGTTCCAAGATGCATAGTAAGTAAGGCCCTGAGGCTTCCCAAGTGAAATGACAGGTTTCCTGATGGCAGCATCGCTCCCGCTCCCACGCAGGCTCTGGAGGCGTAGAGAAGAGAGGTGCGGTGCAGGGGGTTGCGGGGTGCCGTCACTCACATGAACATCCTCCGTGCTCTGGGGCAGGTGGAAGGCGGAGGCCTCTCCAAGGGGTCTCCGCAGCTCGGCTGGACTCCGCGGTCCCGGGGGCCACCCAGACGGCTGCCGAGCCTGAGCCCACGGAGGCCTCACTCTGACCTGTTGCCCTGCCGAGTCCCGGGGGCTGAGAAGGCGTGAGCTGTGCAGGCTCCGGGCTGCGCACCAGGAGCCCAGGCCCAGCCTCCTGTAAGAGGCTCTGTGCTGGCCAAGGGGCCGCGGGAAATGTCCACGACAGGGGCCCAAAGGCACTTGGCTCTGGATGTCTCTGTGCTGGACTCTCTGTCTTCCCCACTTCCCCTCCCCCTCCGCCACCCTCTTTCAGTGAACCCTCAAAGTGCAGCCATTGCGCAGAATCAACCGAATGACCAATTGGAGAATGCAATGTTGTGTAGCAAAATCGCTTTCGACACTTTACAATTTTGCATCAGTTCCTTTCGCTTTCAGCAGCCCTGCAGGCAACTTCCAGCAGAGGCTGTGACAGTGGCCGCCGGTGTTCCCCGTGTACAGGAGTAGCTGTGCAGGTCCTGGGAGGGCTTGGCCGTTGGCCTGCGCGCCATGTGCTTCCCAGTGGAGGGCTGAGGACGGGCCCACCCCTGTGTGTGTTTGGTCTCCTGCAGGGATCTGCAGTTCCTGGCACTTACCCTTAGCCAGCACCACCCACTTTACCAGTTCGGGGTGCAAAGGTCTCATTGCTTTGAATACTGGGTTCCATTAGCCTGAGCCTGATCTTGCATGCGGTCATCGGGGCTTCCCGTTTCCCTTGGTAACCGGGGAGACTCCCTCAGAGGGTACTTCTCATCACTGCTGTCTCTAGCCGAGCTCTTCACACCTGGTATGCCAGGAATTCCTTGGGGACCTTGTTAACATGCAGATTCTGATTCAGCGGGGCGGGGGAGGGGACTGAGGATGCTGCAGTTTGGGTGGCAAGGGTCATGGGTTCCCAGTTCTTTCAGGGAGTGGCCTCCATGGAAATCTCGTGGCACAGCTGCTGTGGCTGCCTCCAGCCCAGCCACCGGGGGCCGAGGCGCACCAGTTAACGGGGGAGAGAGTAACCAGTCTGACAGTGCACATGGGGTGTGTGTATGTCTCACTCTCTCCTGCTGTTATTGCGGGTGCTGCCAATGGGGTGGCTGCAAACAGGCCCCCCTCGGCGCCCAGAGGTGCCTGTGCTCTTCCAGGGGCACCACTTTCATCCAGCAGTGCTTTTTCTGGGTTCCGAAAGGGGAGAGTAAGGTTCTCTCCCCAGGGTCACAGTCAGCTGTGGTGGCCACACAGCCTGTGGGGCTGGGATCCCAGGATGTACTTCTTCAGATTTATGTTGTGTGTGCTTGTGTGTGTGTATGCATGTATGCGCGTGTGCACACACATGTGAGCGTGTGCATGCACACACGTGTGTTGGCATGTGCCTAGGTATACAGAGGTACACACACACAGGGCCATTGTCCCTAAGATACAGCCTTCGAGCCAAAAGAGCTGAATCAGAGAGTGTTTGCAGTGGCTGCCTACTGTGCCCAGAGTTGCCCACCACCTCACAGAGCCAGACTCCTGTTTCTCTGTGGTGTGTGCTCTCTAGGATCCTTTTTTGTCATCTGCTTAATCTATCCCCTCCCTGAGTCTGTCAGAAATATTCCAACAGTTTTCAAATCAGGTAGACCCTAAAAAAAGAGAGAGTGAGATGTGGTCTCAGAGCCTCCCTCTCTAGGAGGCCACCTGCCAGCGAACTGTGGCCGAGAGAGGCAGCCCTCTTTCAACCGAAGTGGGGGACCCACTGCACCCTTTCCTATCTGCCTTACTTTCTATAACCGAAAGGCACCTCTCCAGTGGTCTTCCCAGAACAAAGGAGGTCTGTTTAGATGTGTCCTCACTGTAAACAGAGGAATTGCAGCTTGTAAGTAGCAGTTAGTTTAACAAAAATGTTTACTGAAATGTGCAGTTGTGTCTCTCTTGGCATGCGCCCGCCTGCCACCCACCCGCCGCACGTTGGCCCAGGACTTGTGTGCTGAGTGCAAGGACGGCTTCCGGGTGTCCTCAAGCCCCAGGCTGGCTGAAGCACCTCTCCTTTCTCTCCAGGTCCATATTCAAGCCTTTCATCTTTGTTGATGATGTAAAACTGGTCCCCAAAACACAGTCTCCCTGTTTCGGGGATGATGATCCTGCCAAAAAGGAGCCTCGGTTCCAGGAGAAACCAGACCGTCGGCATGAACTCTACAAGGCCCACGAGTGGGCACGTGTTGTCATCGCAAGTGGCCAGGTGAGCTGGGGTGGGCCCACGAGGGTGGTGAGGTTGGCGAGGAAGGAGCCAGGACAGCGCAGAGCAAGCTCCCCGCGTCCCTCCTCTCCAGCTCCCCTCCCCAGATCCAGGCTCCCAAGGCCCTTCCCAGATTGCCGGTGTCCGTTTCCCACCCAGACTGTTGAAAAAACCAAATGAAACAAAGCCTATACTTTTGATGTTATTCTAGAACTCAGTGAGCCAAGAATAGCCCTCTTTCATTTCCTGTTTACCTGGGACTCACTGAAATGTGTGGACGGCTGCTCTTCTGCTTTCTACAATTCTTCGTACACTTTCGGAGGCACCAAGTTATACTTGATGACAATCTAAAGATGTTATTTTTAAAAAACTGTTTCTTGCCTGGCAGTGTGCCTCAGTGGTTGAGTGTCAACCCGTGCACCAGGAGGTTGCCGGTTCGATTCCCGGTCCGGGCACATGCCCAGGTTGTGGGCCTGATCCCCAGTGGGGGGCGGGTGCAGGAGGCGGCCAATCAATGTTCTCTCTCATCGATGTTTCTCTCTTTCTGTCTATCTCCCTTCTTCCCTCTCTAAAATCAATGAAGAAAAAATTAAAAAAAAAAAATTAGAGATGGCCGTTGGTTTGAGTCAAAGGTGGGTGGTGACAGCAGCTTCTGCCTTCTAGGGCTAATTGGGCAAATGAAAGTTTTTCATTGTCATCCCACTTAGAAGAAAAGATCTCACCGCCTCAGAAAAAGTAAATCGGGCTCGTTCATTGATCCATTTATTCATTCAGCAAATGTATGGGGAGCACCTTCGGTGTCCGAGGCGTTGGAGGGTAGAGCCGAGCCTAGTTCTCCCCCCAGGAGCCCGGGTGTGATGGGGACGGGCAGGTAGACAAGCTCCGCAAGGCGGGCGGGGCAGAAGGAAAGGCCCCGGGCTGTGGGAGCCTGGAGGGAGGGCTGGCAGGCACCAGGGGAGAGCAGCGGCCTGGGCAGCGTGAGAACAGGTGTCATGGGTTGGAGGAAGAGAAGGGGCGTGGCAGGAGGTGATCAAGTCAGGGCCTTGGATGTCACAACGAGCCTTCTCGGAATGTCACTCAGGATTATCCTAAAGGCAGCGGGAAGCTATGTAGGTATTCTTTTTTTATTTTTTAAATCCTCACCCAAGGATATTTTTCCATTTATCTTCAGATAAAGTGGGAGGGAGGGAAGGAGAGAGAGAGAGACAGAGAGACAGAGAAACATCGACGTGAGAGAGACACATCAATAGGTTGCCTCCTGAATGACCCCGACCAGGGCTGGGGACGGAACCACAATGGAGGTACGTGCCCTTGACCAGAACTGAACCTGAGACTCTTTGTTCCGTGGGCTGATGCTCTAACCGCTGAGCCAAACCAGCCAGGGCAACTAGTAGGTATTCTAAGAAATGACTTAACTACATTGGCATTCTGGAAGGATCTTTGTGGCAGTCATGTAGGAAAATTGAATAGGGTGGGCCCCCCATCCTCCCCCCACTCTGGGAGGCTTTTAGTGTTCCTCGAAATGACACCTCCCCCCCTTGTTTTTGTCCTTCCTCAGGAGCAAGGTCGCAAGCTGAGGAAGACCATGCTGGAATTGGAGAAGCAGGGCCTGGAAGCCATGGACGAAATCCTGGCCAGCCCCGGCCCCCTGGACCCCGCCGAGGTGGGGGACCTTTTCTATGACTGTGTGGACACGGAGATTAAGTTCTTTAAGTGAAGTAGGCGCTGCCTGTCCCCGTCTTATTTTAAATTTCCCACGTACTAAATTACCAGCAAAACAAACCGCTCTCCTGTTTGAGTAAGACGAGAAAGGTCCGCCGTGGCCACCTGTCCTGAGGCCGGACCACACTGTACACTTGTGTTCTGCCTGGAATCTCAAAACGTCCCTTCTGCCATGTGGTCCCCTTCCTTTGCAGTGTGACATGCATCCCACGCGCCCGTTGTCCGCCTGTAGGACTGATTGTGGACTTGAAGCTGCTATTATTGTGTTTCAGTGACAATGGACACTGGCCTGGTTGGGGGAGGCTGAGATTCACCAAGCCCTGAAAGGCAGGCTCCGCCGTGCTGAGTGTGGGAAAGCAGAATCTTTTGAAGTCTTACTCTCTCTCTCTCTCAGTAACACTTTCTTTCGGGTTAACAAAAGGCATTTCTTGGTCTGGCCCACGGTTTTGCGTGTGCACTCGAGGGAGAAGCTTCCTGGCCTCCCTTAACTTGTCTGTAGTGCAGAATGTCTCCAGATGTGTCTTCTGAGGGACACATCTGGCAGGAAGGAATAAAGGGGTCCTGTCTGGTGCCAGCTCCATCCCAGTTCCCATGACCCTCAAGAACCTGTCTGCTGTGCCCTGTGCCTGTGCTGTGGACCCACAGCTGCCCCCACGTGCGGGAGGGCTGGTCTGTGTCAGCGGCACCCTGCCCACTGGAGAGTCAGAGGCAGCCGTGCCTGTGGCTTCCCTGAATCACCGCGTGGGTCTCCGCAAAGGCACGGGTGCTCCGTTCCGCAGCACCCTCAGCCGTGGATGCGGCCTGCAGCCGCGATTCCAGGCCTGGCCACCGCCCCTCGCCCAGGGCTAAGTAGGTGCCCTGTGGTGTAGTTCCACCGCACAGAGCTGCGGAGCTCTCAGCCCTTGAGGGGAAGAAGAGGACAAACTTTTGACTGTTGCGATTCTAGTTAAAGTAGCTACAATCTGAGCAGCCACATGCTCTCAGCGGAGACTTTAATTAAAGCGATTTGTTTCCAACGGCATGTTCCATGTTCGCATGAAGAATTCGCCTTTCCATCGGAGTGTAGACAAGCGTGCGAGGAAGACCAGATGGGCTGAGCATCGGAACCCAGAGGGCAAGAGGGCGGCAGGTGGAAGTAGCATTTTGCTCCCCGGTAACAGCCCAGCCCCCACCCTTCCTTCCCAGCCTGTTAGATCCCACAAAGCCGCGTAGGCAGCAGCTGGCTCCCCTTGAGCCTTCCTTCTGTCCCTCCACCCCGCAGTCCCAGTCGGTGCCCCAGATTGGTGGCTGAAGTGGGCAGGTGGCAGGGTGGTGGTGGGGGCTTAGGTCCAGCTCCTACAACTCCCAACCACTCTCAGATGGAAAGGGGCAGAGATGAGTCATGAAGAGTCTGGTACTATACCAGCTAGTGGGAGAACTTAATTATTCCGAGGGACTCCTCGTCAGAGCCGCGTGTCATAGGCCGTGAGAGCTGGAAGGGACTCTGGTCCCTACGCAGATGTGGACCCGGGGTCACAGGTTTTATGGGAACAGATCTTTTCTTTCTGCCAGCTCCCCTTTAAGAGTGTAGGCCTATGAGCATCACGAGCTTTCGGCCCAGCAGGCCTGTAACTTCTGTGTATAAAATCACTGACTCCAAGTGGTGGGAGCCAGGAAGGCTGTTCCACTGCCCGAGTTCACGGCGGCCCTCCGTGGCAGCGTGCAGTCGCTGAGACTTCCGTCCACGTTCGGGCTTCACTGCTGATTAACTTAGGGCCTCCTGGTATGGGGAGCTGCCCTTCTGAGAGCATCTGCCTGCAGCTGCTACGGCGGGGTGGGGGGGGGGTTCCAGAAGGATGCAGGCACCTCCTCCCTTCCGGAGCCCACCTGCAGAGTGGCTGCCTACAGCATGACCCGCAGAGCCAGGCTAAAATTCACAACCAGGTCTCACCTCCACCTGTTATGGAGACATGTCATCAGACCTGGCAAGTCTGTAATACACAAGGTGATTAGGGGTTTGACCAAAAGGAGTCTAGTGAGAATAAATTGCACAGAGGCCTGCTTTCATTATTATGGGCCAGATAAAGGTCACGGGTAACCCAGCCAGCCTTATGCCATTACCCGGCCATTGTGCCGTGGGAAACACAGTGGTTGCTTCTGTGAAGGGGCATTGACCTTAGCCCAGCACCTCAGAGAAGGGCCAACCCCAACTGAGAGTTGTCTGGGCTAACACTGTACATCACAATTGTGATGCCCCTGAGTGGCCACTAGAGGGTGAGGCGGCCCTCTGTGGCACAACCTGGCAGAAGTTAAACGGGCTGGGATACTTCCACCAGGCAGAGAGGTGGTCTATGCACAGTCAGACCCAATAACTGCAGTGAACAGGTTCTCCGTACATTGGGAGTCATAGGGCAAGACAAGAAGAGAGCAAAGAATCTGCTGATGCGGCCATATTCATTTCTAGTGACTTTTATTTACTTATATTAACAGCTTGAAATATGTTGTTGGATTTTGAGCAGGCTGTTGTGGAGGGGGGGATGTTTGTTTTTAAATGCTCCAAACAGACTCTGCTTTTGAAAAATGCTTACCATTACGTGACTAGTTTCTTGACCGGGGATTGCTTTTCTAAAGGCAATGTGGAGAAAATGAATATTCAAGATGAACTATAAAAATAATGTTTAGCCCTGGCCAGTTTGGCTCGGCGGTTAGAGCATTGGCCTGCGGTCCAGAGAGACCCGGGTTCGGTTCCTGTTAAGGGCGCGTACCTCGGTTGCAGTTTGTCCCCGGCCCTGGTTGGGTTGTGCGGGTGGCAGCCACTCGATGTGTCCCTTTCACGTCGATGTTTCTCTCTCTCTTTCTCTTCCTTTCTCTCCCTCCCACTCTATCTGAACAAAAAATGGAAAAATGTCCTCAGGTGAGGATGAAAAAAAGAAAGAAAATAATGTTTAAAGGTCAGTGTGTAAATAGCTTCCTAAAATACCATTTGTGTATCCGTTGCAAGTGGGGGAGGTGTGGTGCATGCTTGGTGCAGAAAGAAGACTTGGCCATAAAGGATAGAATCTCTCCCCACCTCCCGCACCCTGTAACCAAGCATTAGCTAGTTAGTCAGTCTTGTCTAGTGGAAGGGAGTTACCATAGAGGGGGACAGCCCTTGCACTCTAAGGGGGGTGGGGGGGTGAAGGCCCCAGGGAAGTAAGTTAACAAAGCAGAAAGTAATAGCTCTTTCATTCTTGGAGATGGTTTGGAACTCTAGGTAGAATAAGGATATACTTGAAATTGTGGTGATTTCTTAGTGCCCAATAACATGAGACACGGTGTTATTAGAAAGAGTGTCTCTCACATGCTGTCTAACGGAGCGTGAGCAGTGAGGTTCCTTCACTGTCGGGTGAATTGCTCGGTACAGAAGTAATTACCGACCAGGCAGATTCCTTTGCTGCCTGGCTGATGTCGTCCCACACGGTGCAGGTGTGACATGGCTGTGGCAGGCCCCGCGAGGAAGCCAGGTGGGACCAGTGAGTCTGCTGTGAAACCACATGGCAACTGCAATCTCGACTCGCTTTAGGAGGAAGGGGAGAGGGGAGCACACCTTGCCGGCCATTCTCAAAGGAAGAGAGAGGAGTGGCGGGTCACAGGCGCACGCTGTCCCAGAACTACCCCGTGCTCCCTGCAGCCACGGCCTCTCAGCCGAGCCCCGCAGCCCTCCTGCGCTTGGCGTCAAACGTGCGTTATCTGATTGACTTCAAACTTCCCGGAGCGTCATGTGCAGGTTTCTCGGGGGGATGAGCATGTACACGTTTGCAGTCATGTTGTGAGAAGGTCGATGTGTGAGCTGGGAAACGCCTCTGGCGGGGAATAAAAGGAAGATCTTGGTTTCCTGCCGTGGGAACTGACCGTGTAGTCTTAACACCTTTTGTACAAACATCTATAAACCAGACAACTTCCCCATCCAGTGCTTGCCCTTGGAATTGTCTCTACATCAAGCATATAATAAAAAAAATACTGAAACTAATGTCTGGTGGCCTCTTCTATCTTGTGTCTCCTGAATAAATGTGGGCATCAGTCAACATAGAATATATGTGAAAGGGGTTACATTTTTTTTTTACTCAAATCTTCAGAAAACCCAATTGGTTCAGCGGTTTCCTCCATTTTGTATAATTCTGGGGATAAATTCATTCTTAAAAAATATATATATGAACAACAAAACCACAATGAGACACCACCTCACACCCATCAGGATGCTACTATCAAAAAACAGAAAATGACAAGTGTTGGTGAGGATGTGGAGAAACTGGGACCCTTCTGCACTGCTGGTGGGAATGACAGATGGAGTAGCTGGGGTGGGAAACAGTATGGAGGAGCCTTAAAAAAATCACCAATAGAATTAGCATGTAATGTAGTAATCCCACTTCTGGGTAGATACCCAAAAGAATTAAAAGCATGGTCTCGAAGAGATATGTGTACACCCATGTTCATAGCAGCGTTGTTCGTGAAAGCCAAAAGGTAGAAGCAAGGCAAGTATCCATTGGTGACTGAATGAATAAACAGAACGTGGTATATACATAAAGTGGAATATTATTCAGCCTTAAAGAGGAAGGAAATTCTGACATACACTACAACATGGATGGACCTTGAAGGTATCATGCTAAGTGAAATAAGCCAGTCTCAAAATGGCAAATATTGTAGTATTCCACTTATATGAGGTACCAAGAGTCGTCAGACTCATAGAGACAGAAAGTGGAATGGTGGTTGCCAGGGGCAGCATGGGGAGGGGGAAACGGGCAATTTTTTGTGGGATACAAAGTTAAAGTTTTGCACGATCATGAAGAGTTCTGGGATCGGTTGCACAATAATGTGAATGAACTCAACACTACTGAACTGTATACTTAAAAATGGTAAAGATGGTAAATTCTGTGTTATGTTTATTGTAACACAGTTAAAACCAGACTAGAAAAAGAAGTCTAGCTCCTCAAAGTGGCTCTTGGCATCGATGCCAAGCATCTTTATTTTCAAGCCATGAGCAGGTCCACAAGAGGAAAGAATGTCACTTAAGGAGAGAGTCAGCTCTCTACTCTTGTGACCGATCAAGGCCAGAGTGCTTCCAGAATCCTGTCTCCATGATCCCGTCTTCACCATGACAGGCAAAATGCAACCTCTTACCTTGTTCATGAAAATAGGACTTAATCACTGGCAACGAGTGACCTCTGTCAAGGTCAGAGTAGCTGACTGCCCCATGTATATGACAAGGAACTGTTGACTCTTTAAACTGTATTTCCAGCTCTTTTTCTCACAAACATAATACACTGCAAAGCTCCAAGGTGGCAAAGCCTGTATTAGTTTGCTAGGGCCCCTGTCACAACGTACCACAAACCGGTAGCGTCAACAACAGAAATTCAGTCTCTCGCCGTTCTGGAGGCTGGAAGTCCAGGGCCTGTGTTGGCAGGGTTGGTTCTTTCCCCGGGCTCAGGGAGAGGCGTGCCTGGCGGTACTTTGCTGGCAATCTTCAGTATTTCTTGGCCTATAGAAGCATCGCCCCAATATCTGCCTTCCTTCGCGTGGTGTTTTCCCTGTGTGTGTGTGTCTGTGCCCAAACTTCCCCTTTGTATAAGGACGCCAGTCATATTGGGTTTGGGGGGGTCCATCCTACTCCTGTCTAACCTCAGCTTAACTAACTACATCTACAAAGACCTGCTTACAGGTTACATTCTGGGGTGCTGGAGTTCGGACTTCAACATAAGAATTTTGAGAAGATATAGTCAGTCCACAACAGAACAGATTTGTGAAGGAAGCCAAAGCCTGGGGCTGGAAGATGCTTCCGGAATCCAGAGCTCTTCCCGTTAAGTTCTTCCTTCCCCCTGCAGGCACCGCCTCTCCCCCCTTAAACTATAAGGGGCGCCTACGATGGCTACTTCACTACCCTCCACTGCAATGGCTGCGACCTTCGTCACCCGGTTTGTCCATTATCTCAGACCATTGCTTTTCCTCTCTACTCAAACTGGCTCCTCTGGTCATTCATGAGCTTATTGAACCTCCACTAATAAGAGAGCAGATAAAACAAGTCAGGTCCTGAACTCATTTGGATGCAAAGCGTGTAGCAGCTAACTTTGAAATTAGTTTCCAGATGAGATTTATTTTGAGAACATCTATGAATTTTAATGACTGCTCTCTCCTTGTTACCCAGCAGCAGAGCCGGTGGAGTGTGGTCTGAGCAGCTCAGCGCCCAGCTAAATGGACCACCTGGGATGCAGCCAGCGAGCTCTGTGCTGAGGCGTCCTCAGCAAACTGGCTGTACCTGGAGGGCGGGGCGCACTGATTCCTGGGTCTGCTGTGACCCAGGGGCTAAGGGCCTGCCCGGTGTTACATCACTGAATCCTCACCACTCTGTGCTCGGGTACATATTTATGTCTCCTTCACAGCTGAGGAAACCGAGGCACAGACTGGTTAATTTACTTTCCTAAACCTGGAAGAGGCCAGAGACTCAGATGATGTTCGCCCCTGAGCCAGCCTCCCCCAGGTAACCCTCCCCTCCCTAGTCCCAGGTCCTTGAGGGCACCTGGAGACACTGTGATGGGGTTGGGGATGCTGCTGCTCTAACAGGAGATTTTTTGAGGGGTTTGCTGAGTTAGGGGGTGTTCAATGTACGTTAGGTTGAAAGTTGTTCCTTTTTAACACAAGTCAGAGGAATTCATAAGCAGGACTCTCTGCCAATATTATTATAATAGTATAACTGAATTAATAGAGTGTTACCTATTTTAGAAAGTCCATTTGAGAATGGTTTTTCCCTTGGTTGGTTTTTCCAAATACCCATGAGTTAAGTTGCTTAGAACACCAGGGACACCTTCTCCCAAACGGACTGTGGATTAGTGGGAAATGTCCCCTGGAAAGAGCGAGGCCCCGGTTCCGACACAGGGTTACGGCCAGTGCTGGTCCGGGGTAGGGATCGTTTTCGCTCTCACTTCAGAAACCCCCCTGCTCCTGGGCTCAGGCTGCTGAGCGCTGATAGGTTCCAACGAGGAAACAGCCGGAAGCATTTCCACTTATTAAAGTTTATTAGGTACAGAGAGATGAATCTGCAGAGGGAACTTCAATAAATACAAAATGGGCGTCAAACACGGGGGAGCACAGCGCCTGTGGGCGAGGATGTGCGAGGAGGGGGCGGGGGCGCTGTCTCTGTGTACGAGCTCCGGTCAAGGGGCAACCCTTGTCCTGCAGGGTCAAAGCGCCTGAATCCAGTGACAGGTCTCGAGGAGAGATGCGACGCCGGATTCCTGAGATTTCTCCCGCACTGCGATTTGTGGTTTCTGCTCATTCCTCTGTCTGTCCTTGAATCGTTTTATTTTTCATTTCTACCCGAGTGGTGCAAACCATGAACATATCAATACCTCCTCGGGGCAGGCAGGCACTCTTTGTCCAGGGCCTTCTTAACCATGATAATTAAACCCTTTGTAATTGTTGTGTACAACTGGGAGGGAGGCGGAGTGGATACCATTATAATAAAGAAATTGTGACCTTTCGGAGACCTTCCAGAACATAGGAGACAGATCAGCCCTACCCGGAGCTGGTGACCTGAAACACTTCTTTTCCATCGATTTAGCTGTTACGATTTGGCCTGATTTATTTCCCAGAGGAGGGAACCTGACCTTGCAAGGATGCAGGACGGCGATGTGGGAGAGCATCTTGGTCTTGACTCCAGACCGCAGCTAGGTGTACGCGGTCACGTGTTTTCCACCCTCCTATCCTCTACCTATTTTGGATGGGCTGGTCTGGGCGCGACCCCTCGAGGTGTGAGCACACGAGAGGCTGGTTCACAGGACACATTTTTACGGCTCTTCCAGCCTCTCCCTCCCCAGTTTCCTTTACTCTGCAGCTGTTTTGATAACAGACAGGAATCCGCCTGTTTCCTTGTATTTTCTCTCCTTCCTCTGTCACAGTTTTCCTCTCCAAGGACAGCAGGGAGCATGTGGGGTCAGGTGGAGAGCAAAAACACACTTCCATTCCCTTGCCAGCTCAGGACAAAGGATGTGAGTGGCAGCCAGAGCCCGTCCTGACCCTCCATGTTCAGGGGTGGCTGAACCTGGGCACCGCTCCCCCACAGAGAGGCGCCCGCCACCAGAACCTCAGACCAGTTAGATTCTTCAGCTCAGAAGGAGCTAGGTTTTGCATGATGGGTGGTCCCAGGGCTGGGGAACCAGATATTTGAGGCAGGTGGTTCATAATACGTTTCGGTCTACACTTTGTCTTGCCATAGAAATCCTGCACTTGGGAGAGAACATTAGTCCTTTACTCTGATAATGAGTTATACAGGTTTCTAACTTGCAGGGGAAAATACCAAAATCTCATAAAGCTCACCCCACCTCACCTTGGCTGCAAGGATGGGGCTGGCAACTTGGAGGGGACAGGAGGAAAGTCTCGGAGACTTGGGCACGAGGGGCAGTGTAAACAGAGCATTGGCTACTTGTAGGATCAGCCAGGTACAAAAGGGGCCAAGCCCACTCCTGCCTCGACTTTGCGTTACATTTTCATCAGGCAGCAAAAGCAACATCCCTGTACTGCGAAACGGAAGCGAGACGTGGCGTCTCGTTCACCGGAGGCTGTGTGGCATCGTCTGGGTGTGGGGACACTCTAGTCTCTCTGAGCTGTGTCACTTATAAGGCATTATTTGGTTTGGTTCTGCAGTTTGTGTGCTGAGAATATAAAATCATGCCAATAAGAAGCTGCTGTGGATACTGTGACTTTGGGGCTACTTGCAAATCAAGGTCTCTTCTAAAAACTGTTCCGAACCTAGAAGGGCCAGCCTGCACACATATTTACTGTCACGGGATGGACACGATGGGGTGGGGACAGGGCTCTATCTGCACTGACAGACGAATTCATGATGCATTTTTTAAAATGGAGAAACGGTGAGTGTGGGCTTTTTAAAAATAAAAGTCGACTACGATACTGATTTAAAGCCTGTGCAAACCACGTATTTACAATAAATAAATGCTCCATTCAGAGCCTGTATGTCAACTGCATTATAACTTGAGTAGGTGAGGTCAGACACGTCCTCTTGGGGATGCCCAACCCGCGATAGGGAACCCCAGGTGCTCACGGGACGTTGGCATCCTCCGTCTTCTCACCGGAGTGTCTTTAGAGGTAACTGTGGAAACACAACATCGCCAGGTGGGGTTAGAAGACTCACTGCGCACAAATGACACCTCCCCCCACCCCCCCGCCCCAGGCTGGGCACTGAAGCTCTTCTTGAAAGGCTGCCAGGGCCTGAGGGTTCCATCATACCCAAGTGGCTGAGTTTTACCCAGGGGGTCGTGGGTGGAAGACAAATGGAATGGGGCATGGAGTTCATGACATGTGGGGACCTAAAGCCATCTTATAAACATTTATAGGACCAGCAGATTCACTTGATAGGCGGCTCAGGAAAAGCAAAGAAGTTGCTGGAAATCCCAAGATGAGGCAATGGAAGAGAGAAAGGGCCCCAGGCGTGCACACTTCCTGCCCAGGGCGCCCACCTGTGCGTACATCCCGTGCGCCCTGCAGTCATAAAAGAACAGCCTCTGGGGCACTGTTTGCTCTGTGCGGAACCCAGTGGTTTCTCTGGGTGACTGCTTTCTGGCTCACTAACATGAAAATTAATTGCGATGGTGTCCAGCTAGACAAAAGGAAGATCTTGACTATGGGATGCACAGGAAAGACGTTACAATCCATCCTTGAGTAGATACTTATGGGCTCAGTGATCTAGGCGTGTGCCTGCCACGAGGCCGGGGACTAGACACTGCACAAGTCTAATTACACTGGCCACATCTGAGGGGGAGGGTGACTCCTGTCCTGGCAGTTGCAACATGCCTGGAAAGGCAGTGAGGTATAGTGGAAGGAGCATTGGACCAGGACTCAGAGGTCTTGGGCAAGTTTCTTAACCTCTCAGAGCTCAGTTTTCTCATTTGAAAATAAATAAATAAATAACATTCAAGGCACCTCTCCATTTACATCACGGGGTTAATGAAAGGGGCAAATGAGATAACATATGCAAGTTATCTGAAAAATACACAAAGCTATGCAGTGTAGGGACTACTATTTTTATTATGAGTTTATTTTCCTGATCACCAGAGTAATGTATTCATTGTAGAAAATTCAGGAATTGCAGAAATGCACCAGGAAGAGAATAAAACTCAGCCCTAATCTCCAGAGCAAATGCCTGTGAACAATTTTGTCCCCTTTTCCTCCCTGTAATATTTTTCCCGTAACTGCAACCATATGCCCAGTTTTGCATCTGTAATCATCTGAGAATGGATACTGCAATTCTTGGATTAGCTGTGGCAGAAAAGGGGGCCGTGTTGCCTCCGTCAAGGAGCTCATCCCAGCTTCCAGGAACCTAGTCCTTCCTCCTCATGTGATTTTCCTTGAGGCGCCACACAGCTGCAGAAGGGCCCAGTCTAGCAGCAGGTCACCCTCTGTCACACAGAACTCCAAAACGGGAGGAGGCCAGGGTAGGACCGAATGTGTGTTTTCAAAGAAACAGGGGGGCTTTTAAACACGAGACCCTATCACGTGCAGGGGGAGACGTCATCTTCACTCCGCCCAGGTTAGGAAATCCTGCCTCAAGTGAGAAGGAGGGAATTTCTTGTCTTATCACACAGGCACCTGTCTGATTCTCTGCTTAGCTTTCCTCCAGCTCCCAGGACTCGAACTGTGACTAGATCTGGGCCACGTAAACCATAATATTGATGTCCATATGGGGTTAAAATTAAGATTTCCAAATGTGGGACATCGAATGATACCAAACCATAGAAACAGAATCCTCTCCCTTTTGGTAGAAGAAAATTTCTCTAAAATATATATAAAATTTGTTGCTGTGGGTCTTGTTATATGACCATGTCTAATGTAACTGCATGTCATTCTCAAGACATGATACATTTATTTAATCCTTTCCCACATTTTCCAGCTCTTTTTATGTTTCACGTGTTCTCGATTTAGCCAGAAATTTCAAATAAAAATCCCCAATAAAAATGTAAAAAAAAAAAAAAATTAATGTTGAGGGGGAAGAAAACCCCCAAAGGTAAGAAACCATGTGTTCTGCGCATGAGAGAAGACACGGAATTCTGTTTTATAAGCATCAGAGTCCCTCTCATGCTTCTCCAGCCAACACCTGGAGGGCAGAATGCACGGCAGGTGGACGGGGTGACCGTGGCACAGTGATCCCACAGCGGTCTGGTCGCCAAACTTGCTAGGTGATTCCAGGGACCTCGCTTTCACGCTTTAGATTTTGAAATTCTGAGCGTCATTCCCATGGGAAACTAAGGTACAGCAGGGCTTTCCCTGAGGAAACAGAGTCCGAGGAAAGATGTGGAGCTGTGAGGAGGAGGGGCACCCTCAACATCTCCCAGGGACCTGAGGGACGTGTTACCTGAGAGTTTCTGCCTTTGATGTCATCGGAGCTCTGCCCTGCAGCCTCGGCGTGGAGCCAGGGACCAGGTGTACGGCCTGAAAGACACAGGAACAATCGCATCATCTGCTGGCCAGGGGCCGGCTGTGCAGTCACAGAGCCGGCTGAGCCGCTGGGCACCTGCGGCAGCAACAAAGGGACCCGGGTAACGCGAGCCGGTGCACCTGAAACCGCGGGCCGCTGGCCCTCCAGGCTGCGTTTCCACCCTGCTGCGGGCCCCGCACTGTGACTACACCGGCGTCACCCCAGTGCGTGGGAGAGCTTCGGGGACGAGCCAGGGTCCGAAACACGCCGCGCACTGTGCTAGACTCGCTCTGGAAACAGAGCCGAAGAGACGTACGCTCAGCAAAGTCAGGCTCTGTTCCACCAGGAGCCAACTGCTTCTCTAAAATGTCTTATGTTCAAGTATTATACAAGTTTAAAAAAAATGTTTTTATTGCTTTATAGAGAGAAAGGGAGAGGGAGAGAGGAAAACATTGACCAGCTGCCTCCTGCACGCCCCCTACTGGGGACTGAGCAAAACCCAGGCAGGCGCCCTGACTGGGAATCCATCCGGGATGTCTCAGCGCCCGGGCCAGTGCTCAACCACTGAGCCGTACCGGCTGGGCAAATATTACACACGTTTTATATACATCTATTCTCATAGTGAGAATCCAATACAGAAGAACATAGCAGGAGAAAGAAATCAACCTGGAGTCGCCCTTCTCTGCCTACCCTTTCCCCCAATCCCAATTTTCTAGCCCAGAGTCACCCTAAAAGTTTGGTGTTTATTCCCCAGGTACTTTTCCCTTTGGCCTTGACTGTGTATGTCTGTGTGTATATCCGCAGATATAGGGTTGGGTTGGTCCAGCCAAGTTTCAATCCACGTTCCCAGCGGCTCCTGCAGGGACTGTCCCTGGGAGTCAGGTGCTCTGAAGGCGGCCCTGGCATCTCTCTGTGCTGCGTGTGTCCTGCCGCTGTCCCAGAGGAGACGGAAGAACCACGCCCGAGGCCCTCCGAACACCTCAGCTGCTGTGCTCTGTACCCGGCAACGTGAAAGCAGAAATATTCACCACAGATTACGTATAATCGCGAAGCGCTGGTGATAACCCGTGCTCAGTCAGTTAGGGACTCCAAGGCTTATCATACGACGGAGTCAGAGCAGCTGTTTGAATGTTTACAAAGGCTCAAATACTTCGCGGTGATGTTGAAAGGCAGGCGAGAAGAGCAGACTAGAAATTGTATAAATAGAATGACCTCAACTACTTTTAAAATTCATAAAAATATGAATAATATACAGAATTGATTCCTCTGGGATTGACTGGTTTTCTTTCATCTCTGAAAAAATACTTTTCAAGTTTTCTACAAAGAATCTAGAAGTCATCTTAGGGACCTGTTAAGGTAAGATAACAGTCCCCCCCCCCCTTTATTGATGTTAGAGAGAGAGAAAGGGAGAAGGAGAGAGAGGATGAGAGAGAACATCGACTGGCTGCCTCCTGCATGCCCCCCCACTGGGGGTTGGACCCACAACCTGGGCATGTGCCCTGATCAGGAATCGAACCAGCGACCTCTTGGTGCATGGGTCGAAGCTCAACCACTGAACCACACGGGTCGGGCAAGATAACAATTTTTTAAATGAACTATCCCACAGGAGTGTCTTTACAACATATAAACCATTAATCCAATGGGCACTGTTATTTTCATTAAAATGCTTTTTAAATTAACGAGTGCATTTTTTCTAGGATAAAGATATCTTCGGGTAAATGACACAGGAGTGCTAGATTTCTAGCCAGTTTATTAACTAAATAAAAAGTAAAAAGACACTGATATACAGCTCTGACCTAATTCCATGTGGCAGTATGACCCTGAAGCAACCGTCCCTAGATTTAAGAAACTCCTCTACTATGTAAAAGGCTTCCTCTAGGCCAGGGTTTCTTACTATGGCTCATTTTGGGCTGGGTGGTCATGTAGGGGCTGCCTGTGTGCTGTGGCTGGTCACCATCACCCCTGGTCTCTCTACCCACATGATACCAGTAGCACATCCTCTGTGCCTAGACCATCTGTAACAGCAAAAACTGTCTCCAGACCTCCCCTCCCCTACTGCCCCCCGCAGAGGAGAACCACTGGGCGATACAGCTGGATTCTCTGCAGCTCAGTGGTGCTCACTGGTTTTCATAAACACCACTGGGAAACATAGCAGAGCTAAAGGAGAATCATTTTCTTCATAAAACAGAAAAGAAAGCTCTGCATCTCTCCTTAGGCACTGTTGATAGGAATGGAAAGTAATGGAATGGAAAACACTATGGTGGTTCTCAAAAAAATTACAAGTAGACTTTCCCTGTGACCCAGCAATTCTACTTCAGGCTATGCACACAAAAGAATTAAAAGCTGGGTCTCAGAGAGATCATTATATACCCATGTTCCCAGCAGCACTTTCACAAGAGACAAAAGGTAGAAGCAACCCAAGTGCCCATTGATGGATGAATGGATAAACAGAGTATGGTGTATCCATACAATGGGAAGTTATTCAGCCTTAAAAGGGAAGGAAATTCTGGCACACACTACAATATGGATGAACCTTGAGGACATGATGCTAAGGAAAATAAACTGGTTCCAAAAAGCCAAACTATATAATTGCACTTACACGAGGTACCATGACTAGGAAAACTCTCAGAACCAGAAAGAAGCGTGGTTGCCAGGGGCTGGAGGAGGGAGAACAGACACCTGTGGCTGAATGGGGACGGGGTGTCAGTTTTGCAAACTGAAAGGAGTTCTAGTGTTTGCACACTAGAAAGTGTTTGCACAACGGTGTGAATGTACTTAACACCACTGAACGGTACACTTTAAAAGGTTTGGGTGGAAATTTTCATTTTATGTATGATTAAACCACAATTATTCTTTCGGGTAACTGTGTGCTGTTTGTTAGAAGGAGAGAAGCAGGTGGGAGGTGGCAGGGAACCCAACCGCCACACGAGTGGGCAAACACACTCAGCCGGCAGAACCAACATCGTCTCCAGCCCACGAACACCTCTGATCTGGGGAACCAGGCCCGTGGGCCCTAGGAGGAGAACAGGCATGACCCCCTCACACTCGCACTAATATAATGAACAAGGCTCCACCCTACGGCTCACAGGGATGGCAGGGACATGCTCATTTCATTGTGCCAGAAGGCTATGGAAATATTTTCTGTCTGCTGATTACAAATGCTATTTCTGGTCTGTAGGATGCCAGTTCATTTAGTAGGTTTCTTCTTCTCCTCCTCCTCCCTCCTTCCTTCTACCTGCACCTACCTAAGCCTCAGGAGATGCCTTTTTGGTCTGGACACTGATTTGAACATTTCTTCGTGGTGAGAGGAACACAGCAGACCACCAACTGCGCCCCCCGGTGAGCTGTGAGGGGCAGCGCTTTTCTTGTGTTCCCAAGGATGAGCCCAGGCACCACGGGCTCAAAACGCAGAAACTTTACATTAGCATGCCCTGAGGCTGAGGGCTGAAGGACTCCATAGCACATTACTGAGAAAGGCTGTGTAACAGAAAGAGATTGTTAAGAATCTGCTTTGCTGGAATGGTTCAGGGCAGAGATGGGCAAAACATGGCCAGCATACCAAATCCAGCCGGCCCCTGTGTGTTTGAATAAAGTTTTATTGGAAGACAGCCATGCTCGTTCATTTACATATTGCGAACGGCTGCTTTCCTGTGGAGACAGCGGAAGACCCGGGTCCTGCAGAGCCTGGAATATGTCATCCTCGATCTTGCATAGCAAACGCTTGCTGACCTCTGGTTTAACACAGGGGTCGGCAACTGAAACGCCTCCAGGGCCAGGTGGTCACATCCATGTGTCGCAGTCTGGGTGCAACACAGAGCAGCGGGGTTGTGGCATGAAGGTGGGCAGCTGCAAACCCGCAGGAAGCTGGACCCTAGAGAAAGGACCTCACCAAGGTCCCTGTGAAAGAGACTCGAGGTGTTCCTGGCCTTGGGGTAAGCCCAGACACTGATGAATCGATCATCTTCCATGCTGGTCCACAGAAGTCTGGGCTGGGGGTGGGGAACACGTCCGGCCCTCACTCTGTGATTTGACTCTGTCCAGCCTAACCAGCTGCTGCACAATTAGATTGGCTCAGCATCAGACACGAATTGGTTCATGCTTTTTCTAAAAAATCCTCACCTGAGGATATTTTCCCATCTATCTTCAGATAGAGTGGGAGGGAGGGAGAGAGAGAAACATTGATGCAAGAGAGACACATCGACTGGTTGCCTCCCACACAACCCTGACCAGGGCAGGGACCAAACTGCAACCGAGGTACGTGCCCTTAACCAGAATCGAACCCGCGACTCTTTGGTCTGTGGGCCAACACTCAACCACTGAGCCAAACCGGCCAGGGCAGAATTGGCTCATGTTTTAACTAACAGGCAGCATCACTGTGCTGTCAACACCCTGCTTTTCTTTGCTTCCTGTGTCCCTAAAGGACTTGCCTCCCCGGCCTTGGGCCTGAGGGGCAGGCTGGCCAGCTGCTCCCTCTTCCCCTCTTGAGACGGAACAGGTGAGCCCAGAGAAGGCCGACCTCGGAACCTGGCCACACAACAGAACCAGGGAGAGGCAGCTCTCACCGGGCTGAGACTTTCGGCCTTAGCTGGACACTGGAATCACCTGGTCCTACCCAGGTACCCTAACTTAGGTGGTCTGGGAGCAGCCTCTCTAGGTCATTCTAATGTGTGGCCGAGATTAAGAACCGATGGCCTGAGGACACTCTGTTTCACGGTCCGCCAGAGTTCTGAACTGGGGGCTTGAGGGTTCTTCCCCAGCTATTAATGTAAAGTTCCTGCACCCCATTTTCCTTGGGGTGTTCATCTCTAGTCAAAAACCCCAGAAAGGGGAGGGACAGGTGGTAAATTCATGCAAAGCTGGAGCTAAACAGTGAACTCTGGTCTTCTGCAGCAGCCTCTAAACAAATCCTTGGGGACTGGGAGTAGTCGCGTCCCGGCGCTTCTGAAGTGAACAGCGCTGCCCGGGGCGCAGCTCAGAGAAAGCGCAGGCGCCTGCAGCTGGCCTGCCCGAGCACTGAACTTGGGACAGCCAGGGGCAACCAGGAGCCCTATTGAGGTGGTACTTACTTCTGGGGATCTTGCTGGGGTAAATCTTCTGGCATGGTTTATATTCATCCGGAGGAGGAAAGTCTTCCACAGAATGGAACGTGAATTTAGACTCGAAGTCATCTGCACACGTGGGAAATGGCAAAGTTACTCTGGTTACCGTGATGACCCAAGTGCTGTTCATTTCCAGGAGCACACAGGTTTGCCTGCTCAGTGCAAAGGTTTCAGCGTCAGGGCTAGTCCCCCAAGATATCCATCCATTTCTCAATTTTTACTGTTTAGCTGGGACAAGGGGAATAGGGACAACTGAAATCAATAGACTCCCCATCACCCACCCCAACTTACGTCAACCAACATCTTCAGGAAGCTGCTAAAGGGAGCAGAAGAGCCCCAGGGTCCCGAGTCAGAGGTGGGGACACAGCAGCAACAGGGACAGCAAAGTCCCCATGGCCCGAAGCCCCTTCTGAGCTCCTGGGAGGGCTTGGGGGGAGGGGGGATGGGCCGAACGGGCTGGTGAGATGGAGCAGGGCCTGAGTCCAGCTGCAGACCTGGGCTCCCCTCAGCAAGCAGGTTGTGTCCTGAGCTCCTGATGCAAGAGGAGAGGGTACTTGTGGTCCTGTCATGAGTTGAGACCCTGCTTTGTGATCGGGGCTTTGTGTCTGACAGTAGCTCAACCCACAAAGGGATCCAAAGACTTTCCCTATATGACTTTTCCTCCCATCCCCATATTTTTGCCCTAATTGTCCCCCTGCCTGCTGGGCCTTCTGTCTATCCATTTCCTTGTCCAAATCACTCTATTCTTTCAGCCTTATGCATGGGTTTCTCCATGGAGATAGATACACAATTTAAATGTTGGTTTTCTTCCCTCTCTCTAAACTCATTCAGAAGGTTAAGAGCGGGTTCTGCAACCCTCTAGAAAGCCTCAGAAGAAATCCTATATCTAACACAACCTGTGGGCATGCACCCTGGGCTGGCGAGCTCCCCCCGAATGGGGGAGCCACATCCTCCCTGGCAGCCAGCGCAGCAGCTGGGGACCCTGCTTACCGACGACGTTCAGGCTTCCATTCCGCAGCTGACCTCCGGGCTGCTGGGTCGGGGTCCAGCCTGGGACCTGCTGGCTCCTGCTTGAGAGCTCCGTGGTGGGTGATCTCGCAGGAGGTGCCGGGGGTGGATTTAGCTTCCCCCCACTGGTCCCTGGCAGAGAAGGTGATGGTGGAGTCAGGTACCGGAATGAATGGGGACAGCTTATGCTATCACCTTCCATGAGGGGTGAGGTCCTGAGACCTTCGGATATCATGTGATGTCACGAGTAGAAGGGCAGCCTCTGGAGCCAACCTGCTTGGGACTAACCCTCAGTTCTCCCTTTGGGATCATAACACAACTTCTTTGTGCCCCACCTTCCTCATCTGTCGGATAGGAACAATAATGCTACACATACCTCCCAGTCGTTGAGAGGGTTAAATGAGTTGTCTAAGTCAAGTCACTAGTAGTAAGGGCTCAACAAACATCAGCTGCTGTGATCATCTTAATGGCGATGACAACCCTCACCATCAGATGGTACAGCCCCCCAAAGGGGAACTGCTGCAGCACCCTAAGAAAGGGACAGACTGTCTGCAGCTGAGGCTGCTGGGTAGGTGAGGGAGTGATTCTTAATATTTGACTGAAAATATAGACCCTCAGTTTTCTTGAGTCAGCAGGAGAACCTGCCAAAAAGAAAAAAGAAAAAGGCAGGAAGTGAATCTAATCTACTGAGGTCCCGAGAATGTTTTGGCAGGGAGCCGGGCTGTAATAACTCACGACATTAAACAGGAGAGCTGGTTCTGAAACAAATGCACCACAGCCCTCCAGGCAGGGAGCAGGTCTGGAGTCTGAAGGATGATGGGAAGAGTCAAGAACCCTCCTCTCCATCTCCCTGTTGTCAGACCCTGTTCCAACAGCTGCCTGATGGGGGAGCTATGGCTCTCCCCATTTTACAGATGAGGAGAATGAAGCACAGAGAGGCTAAGTGATTGTGCAGGCTCACACAGCTAGTAGAGGCAAGGTGATCCTGCCTTGTGGTCTGCATGATCTTGGACAAGTCTTCCAGGCTCCTCGCTCTTGGTTTCCTGCTTCTAACATGACAACCCCGACATAAATCCCACAATAAGACTGTATTGGGCTCCACAGGGGAGCTGTATAGGTATGTTCTAAACCAAAACCCCGACTTAAGACATCCCAATGTACTCCCAAGTGGCTTGAGAGCCGGCCTCTGGCTGCGTCGGCTCCCCCACGATTGTGGGCACCGTGTGCCCCCCCTCGTGGACCAGACCGGTTGTGCTTACCTGGGCCTCGGCCCGGCCTCTTCTTCTGCAGGAAGGGCTGAGGCCCTGGAGGGGCGGGTGGAGCCGGCAAGGCCTGCACGCTGGGCTTTGGTGGCTGCATCTGGAAGCTGGGGGACTTGGGGGGCAGTGGGGGTGGGGGTGGGGCTTCACTGCTGTTAGCGCCTGGCATAGGGGGCGCAGGCACCAAGGACCTCGGGGTGCATGAGGTGTAAATGGGGAGTGGTGGCGGTGGGGGCGGCGGGGCGGGGGGCTCCTGAGCATCTTGGGTGGGGCTCACAGCATCTGCATGGAGCCCAGGGTACCCACAAGGCGGAAGGAGAGGGAGCGGGGGTGGGACAGGTGACAAGTGCAAGGGGGCTAGCTGAGGCTTCACTGCCTTGTCACTGAGCATGGAGGTCTGGGGAAGTGGGGGGGGTGTTGGGGGAGGTGGCGGAGGCGGAGGGGGAGGTGGGGAGGACAGAGGGGGTGCAGTTACCAGGGCATTCCCTTTGGTCTGTGAGCCAGATGGGGATACCAACGGAGCTTTGGTGGGGGAAGACGGGGGCAGGGGCGGGGGTAAGGGCGGGGGAGGCGGGGGCAGGGAGGGAGGGGGCGGGGCAGGCACGTTGGGGCGAGGAGGGGCTGTCCTGGCAGCGCCATGGGCCTCGGCCTGGCCTAGCCTGGGGGATGCTGGGGAGTTAAGCGGCCAGCTGATTGTTTTGGTGGGAAGCCTTGGAGAAGGCGCTCGGGAGCCAGGGGCCTGCCCTGTCTTGCCACCTGGAAGGGAGACAGTTCTGAGTTAGCTCAGTGACCAGAAAGAGAGACCTCAGGTACGGGGCAGCCGTGGCCAACACTGTGAAGCACCATGTGGTGGTGACCTGCACCGTGATACCTCCTCCTCCTTGCACCGGCCTTAAGAGGCCTCGGGGGCAGCAGCTGTCACACAGGAGGGCCAACTGGATCAGCCAGGGGCCTTGCCGGCATCACGGAGCTGGCCCCTAAGCCAAGTCAGCTCAGGCCACCAGCTTTCCTACTGCCTTCCTCCAGGCCCTGCCTGCCAGCGTCTGCCAGTCCCCCGCTCAGGGCACGGGGCTGCTCAACCTCCTCGCCTTCCTCATCTCAAGGTCACCTCACACTCATTCTCTGGACCCACTAGGTCCATCAGCCCTCACGTCCTAGCGTGGGCCTCAGGCGTCAACCGGAATCTCCGGCAAGCATCTGTGAACAGGAGTCCGTTTCTGCACTAAGAGCAGAAGCCCATGCTTCCTGAGTAAGCACCTGAGGCAGCTCCAAAGCCAGAGGGAAGACACGCTGCCTTGGGGATCCAGGTCCAATGACCTTGAACCTCCTCATCCATTGGCCTCTGGAAGTGCCAAGCTCCCTTTCCCAAAGACGTGTGCCCATTTCTAAGGGGCTTGCTGTCTCCCTGTCTCCTGGCTTCCGCACCCCATCGATGCTCCACACCGCCCCCCCAACTCCGGTGCCTCGTGAATTCAACAGCAGCAAATTGTGTACAGTCAGCATCTGTGTTTGGTGGACTTCACGGAAGATGGGTATGGAGGGTGCTCCCTGGGAGTGGTCTTGTCATGCTGCGCTCCCTTTCAGAGTTCTTCCCCTTTGTCTCTCCGTCTCTCGAAGGAGAAAAATGTCCCTCTCCTTGTTTACTGTCCAGAAAATCTGTAATCACTGCATATGGGTACTTCCACTCAGGAGGCATTACGAATATTTCATCCCAATAAATACGGTGCTCCTTCTAAGAGAATTCTGAGGAATGCCTTTTCCCCACTGTAGCACCCTTCCAGGTCCCCGAGAAAACTGGAAAACCCTTACAAACATGCTTGCTTCTCACGCCTCCAACTTCCTAGTTGCTGCAGAAAAGGAAACAGCTTCCACATCAGATTACTCCCCCAGCCTCTGTTGGGGGTTCTGAGCTTTTCAGTCAATGAGTGTCCAGTGTGTTTTCCCACCCAGGTGCTAAATCCTACCCCAAAGTTCTTTATGCCAAAAGCCAGGCCATCGAAGCAAGGTGTGGTCTAAGTGATCGGGTTGAAGCTGAGTGGGCAGGACTGCGGTGTCTGGCTTTCCAAACAGAGGACTCTCCTCTAGCTATGATGTGACAGTCACATGGACAATACTACTCGTTACAGGTGTCAGCTAGGGAATGGCTGTCCTAGAGGCAGGGCAGTGACATTATCATCCATTCCTTTGTTGAGGATTTTCTTTGTGGTAGTTACAGAAGAGATGCCTTTGCACGATTGTACCCACCCTGGCTGACTTGATCCCCCTGGGGGTCTAAGGCAGGCATCACCAGAGCAGCTTAGTTGACCATGACCAGGAGGGAAAGCCCCCCGCCCCCCAGCCTTCTTTCTACCACCTGCAAGTCCAACATTCTATGTGAGGTCAAGGGCAGTGGTCAGGCTCGGGGATTCCTGCCTCCAACTTCTCAAGCCTGTTTCCATAGTTGGCAGAGATGAAGATGGAGAACCCAGACAGCTCCCTAGACAAGGCTAGGCTTCCCCATGCCCAGCTGCTGGATGAACTTTAAAGGGATAACAAATTTGAGGAACGGACTCAGCCCGAATGACCAACCCAAACTTTTAAAGTGGCTGAAGACATCATGTCTCCAAGATTCAAAAACCCATAAAGTGAGTCGGTTCAAAGTACAGGAGCCTCTGCCCTCCTTCAGCTGTGCTCATGCCCACTTTGGGATCACGCCGAGGCGGCAGCATGCAGTCAAGGTGAGACCACAGGAGAGAGAGGCGCTGACGGCGTGAGTGCAGGTGACGAAAGCAGCCAGGCAGCCAGCCAGTGGCCAGCGACAGCTAGTGCCAAGGGAAGGAAGGGAGGAGCCTCTCCAGCAGAGCATAGCACTAGCCCTAGGAACCCAAACAGAAACACAGAGGAGACCAGGGCTCGGGTGGGAGAGGCCAGCGGAGTGCACGCAGGAGGCCTCACTGATAGCAGAGGACTCGGGTGCAGAGCCTGGGGTTATCAGGAGGCGACAGAGTCTTTCAACGTGCATGTTTCCAGAAGACCTTGGATTGCACGCAAGTCCCATTGCACATTCCGTATAACCCAGTGACATCTACTCGTTGGACCTTATTTTAATGGTCACTCCCTGGAATGCTAAGTTAGAGCCATATTAGGACTTTTGGAGACCCTGGGCACTTCTGCTATTGTAGGCCTCTTCTTCCTTAAAAAAATATTTAAAATTGCACTTTGTGACTGCACTGGTATAAAGACAGATATACTCTTTGACCCTAAAAGTTTATGGGTTTTCCCCCTGATTTTAAAAGAAATTCAAACATTTTCATGGGCCCCTAAAACTATTGTGAGCGCTAGACACTGTGCGCTCTGGGCTTAAGGGCTCTGAACAACCATACTACCCACTCGCATGCTTCATTCAACAAATATTTACTGAGCACCTACTATATGCTAGTCATTTTTAAGGCAGTGAACAAAACACAGTTCCTGCCTTCATGGAGCATGTATTTAGAGGGAGAGATGGAAAATAAACCAGTAAATATATAGTATGTCCAATGGCGGTAAGTAATGCAAGAAGAGGAAATCAAGATAGAGGGAGTATGGAATGAAAGGGCTTAAGTAAAACCTCACTGATAAATTGACCAGATGCCACATGAGCAGAGACCTGAAGGAAGGGAGATCATGAACCCTGTGGACACTTGAGAAACAGTGTGTCTGGCTAAGGGAGCAGTCAGTGCAAGGGCCCTGTGGCAGCAATATGCCTGATTTGTATAAGAACAGCAAGGAGGGCAGTGTGTGGCTACAGTGCAGGGCCTGAACTAATAAGACTGGTAGGCAAGAAGATCGGAGAGACAGCAAAGGCCAAAGTCCTTTTCTCCAAATGACAAGGGGGCTGACGGGAGAGTTCAGAGAGAGGAGCCATGGCCATCTCCCTCCGACATGGCCCTAAGGCCATGCATCTACCTCCTGGTCCTGACCTTCAGCTTCCTTCAGATGCCTGACCTTCAGATGCCCAGTGACAGGCATCATCAGTCACTTCATTATGGGTTTTGATCTCCTCTATAGAGGTCAATGCTGACTTCACATAGTGGCTAAAAGACCCGACACGTGTGTCCTGTTAGAGACAAGTAGGGATAGCGTTGGCTTCCTTTGTCTGATCCCTGTTGTAGCCTGACTGGGGTTATTTCTGTGAAGAGAAACTAGTGGAATTTCTATACCCTAAAGGCTGTTTTTTTGATACCACACAGGAAGTTTGGGAAGGAAGTGGGCACAGGAGAACGCCAGGTCTCACGATGACCTTGGAGCTTTCTTGTCTGACAAACCCTGAGCAACAGCAAGGAAATGAACTGGCCTCTGGGAAGGTTCAGGCTGGATTGATTGCAAAGCATCCTGGGCCCTTATCTTTGCTGGACTTTATCAGTAGGTGACGGCAGCAAATGCATCAATTAACGTCAAACAGCCACAGAGCTTGTAAGAAAGTCAGCGAAGTCACGTGGCAGAAGATTCTATACCAGGAATGTCTGGGGCCTGATATTTATTCCCTGGATTAATGAAATTTGTTGAGTTTATAAAAAAAGAAAAAGGATAATACTTTTTTTTGCACACAATAAATATATATTTCCCTATATTTTCCCTTCATGATTTTTAGAGAGAGAGGAAGTGGGGGGCAGAGTGAGGTAGAAACATCAATAAGAGAGAAAATTGACTGGCCGCCTCCTGCACGCCCCCCACTGGGAATCGAGCCCACAACCTGGGCATGTGTCCTGACTGGGAATCGAACTGGAGACCTCTTGATGCATGGGTCAACGCTCAACCACTGAGCCACACCGGCTAGGCAATATTTCCCTAATTTTAATGCAGTGTTTTCAGAACATCTCATACCCACTGAGACACAAATGCCTGTGGTAGACTGGTTGCAGAAATGACCTTATTATCCACTCATTCCTGATTCTGTCACCTTTGCATGTGACCTTGCAGCTCCCCTCGCCCTTGTCTCTGCCTGGCCTTGCGACGTGCTCTGGAAGAGAGGATGTACTAGGAAGTGATACTATGCCAATTCCAAGTCCAAGCCTCAGGAGACTGTGCAGGCTTCTGTCCTCCCTGCTGGATCCTTGCCACCACTACGAAAACAACCCTGAACAGTCTGCTATCTATTGAACGACTATCTGGCTCAATCAGGCCAGTGGTCCCAACTGAGTCACCAAAGATGTCCGCGACATAAGATTAGCAAAACCACCTACCCAACCTGTAGACACAAGAGGGAGCCCAGCTGAGACCACCCTGAACTGCCAACCCATGAATTATAAACTAAGTAAAAGTGGTTGTTAAAAGCCCCTGAGTTTTAGGGTATTTTGTTACCTAGCAATGCCTAACTGACACAAGGACCAAAAACCTTTATGACTCCGTCATTGCCACAGTAACGCCACTCAGATCTCCTAATGTGCTTTACACCTTCCGTCCGTACTTTGCAGTCTGGGCTATCATCGTACCATCACTAAACACTATGCACTATGGCAAATCACCTTCGTTTATTAGAAGGGGGCATTTACACAGAAGGCTGATTTAAAAGATCCCTCGAGCACAGTTCTGTGCTTTGCAAACTCCCAGAGCTTCGGCTCCCAAATGCATGCTCGCCTAGCACACCGCTGTTCACTGAAACCTGTCACACTGGCGGGCGAAGGGTCACTCAGCGGGTCTACAAGCGAAGGAGATGAAGATCACAAGACAGCCCGTCTGGATTCCTCCTTACCTGCTGCGTCCCTCTGGCCTGCTGTTCGCAGCACAGGAAAGCCACCAGCAAACAGGTCTCCCAGGGCGGGGGGTGTGCTCCCTCCTCGAGAGTTTGCGGAACCTCCTCCTTCTCTGTTGGTTCCTTTAGAACCTTTAGAGACAAGAGGGAAGTAGATGAGGACTTGTGAGCAGAGCTGAGCAGCGAGTTCGCACCCTGGGCCACGGTCACATACTCTGTGTGGCAGCCTTCCTGTTGCCCGACCTGCAGAGCTACCCTTCTAGATGGCATCTTTCCCAAACACCCTCTGCCTTGACACCCTGCTGACTCGTGCCCGCGCCTGTGTGCTGCCCTCGCTGGACCTATCCAAGAATCAGCCTTTAGCAGCTGACCACTCGGAAAAGTGACCAGAACCAAGGGACCTACGCGCTGCCATTCAGTAGATGCCAGTGGAGGAACTGGCAGTACCTTTAAAATGAAAACACCTAAACATTAGAGGTGTAGAGTTTCCTGTTTTCAGCTTGACTGTGTTGTGGGAGGACTAGCCAGACAGAACCCACAGATGTCACTCAGACAGTGATTTGAACTTCATGTCCAGAGCCTGGCCCTGAACTGCCAGCAGGAAATGAAGGTCTGCATCGGTTTGGGCTTCAGCATCTTGCTTCCCTGCGCCCTCGCTCCCGATGCCCGCAGGCTGCCCTGCACCCTTCCGTCTATGGAAGAAGAAGCTTATAAGCCCCAGAGGAGAGGCGTCACTAACTCCAGCCTTCCAGGTGGGTGTGATTACCATCTACATAAAACGAGAAGACACTCAGCTTAGACAGGAATTCGTGGCAAGCCAATCTTCACAACCTGAAGCTAACATGCACTGAACTTAAGGCACAGTGCCCACTGGTGGATGAATGTGGCCAGATTATTCTAAATATTAATATTATCCATTACCTGCTCATTGCAATGATTAGCAAGTGAGAGTTCCAATAAAATGGACTTATCTGTTCATTGGCTTAACCAATTAGATAGTGGGTCTTGCCAGAAACTAGTTTTTATTGTAATTGTTGAAAATATATTTTTAAAAATGTGTCTATCCTTATGTATGAACAAGAATAATTGAGAATTAACCCTATGCTCACCATTGAAAAATGTATGAAGACATAATAATACCTGACATTGATAAATAGTTCTGCATATATTATTTCAACCTTCCACTATCTTGACACATACAAAATGGGCAGGTTTTATCATCTCTCCCATTTTGCAGGTGAGCAAACCGAGTCTGGCTCCCTGGGTTGCTTGGGAGCAGAAGCAGACATTCGACCGAAGCTCAGGGCTCCGTTTCCCTCTCAAGCTTTAGAAGACATAGACAGCTGCTTCAGTTACCCTGCGGGAGAATTCCGAATAAACCCTTCTCCCCGTGGACAAACAGAAACGTTGCATTTTCAAATGTTGAGACCTTCCTCTTTCTCTCATTGAGTTTGAGGACCATGTGGACACAGTGATGTTTAAATGTTGCTTCACGATGGATAAACACAGAGTGGTCTATCCATACAATGAAATATGATTCAACCATAAAAAGGAGTGAAGTACTGGTTCCGCTACGTGGAGGGACCTTGAAAACATGATGCTCGGTGAAAACAGCCAGTCACAGAAGGCCACATGTTGTATGATTCCATTTATGAGAAATATTCCAAACAGGCAAGTCCATAGAGACAGAAAGTAGATTTAATGGCTGCCAGGGACTGAGGGATGGGGCAATGGGGAGTTACTGCTAATGGCTATGGGGTTTCCCTTGGGGGTGATGGAATGTTCTGGAACTAGATGAAGGTGATGGCTACACCACATTGTGAATGTTTAAATGCCACTGAATTGAATACTTCCAATGGTTAAAATGGTGAATTTTAGAGTGTATGTATTTTATAACATTGAGATTTTTTAAGCACTTCAAGAGTGGTGGTACCTACAGACTGTCTGCACACCTGGAAGGGAAGCTCGGACTCTTTCACCCATGTGGCCTGTACACGGAGCAGGTCTGAGAGGGTCCGATGTCTGTCCTGTGACAGACGTAGCCCCTCCCTGAGCAAGCCAGAGGGTCTGGCTGAGCCGCTGGGCCTCCCGAGGCGCAGGGCAGTCCTGGCCCACATGCGCACTTACTCTCGATTTGCGGAGCACTGCGGTCATTGACCTGCGTGACTTTCCGCAGGCGAGCTCCTTGCTGGATGTCAGCCAGCAGTGCGCTCCGACCTTTGGGATCTGCCTTTCTTGAGCTGGAAGCATCTGTAAATACCTGTGAGGGAGTAAGAGGGATTGATTATAATCACAAATAACTTTTGCAGATGAGCCCCAAGTCCTGTCCGCTGTAAGGTTACCTCCCATGTTCTCTGCCTGACCTGTTTGCCCTGCCCTGCACCATTTCGAAGGCCCAGCTCACCTCGATCCTAGGCATTTGCCTATAAGACTTGGTGGAGACTTACCTCCCGTACTGCTCATACCCCTCTCCCTGGGGACCCTAAATCTTAAGGAAGCCTAAATCACAGGCCCTCTTCCTCCTCCTAGTTAAGCCCCGGCCACAGGCCTGGGCTTCAGTCTGGGCGTTCCTGACCCATGCTGCCAGGTTCTGAGTGATCACCCTGACTGGCTTCCCAGGTCCACTTCCGGACCAAATCCTTTGCTGACTCCAGCTTGATGATGAGAGAGGTCCTGTGGCCCCGTCTTGCCCTGGGCTATTCTCCAGAGTGGCACTAAGTTGCACTCAGTCCCCTGGTACTCATCCTCCCTGCTGTGGGTGGCCCATTATGTCCCATAACTGAAGCAGACTCAGCCTTGAGGGGCTGGTTTTTGGGGAGGGATGGGGGCCTTCCTGTGAGCATGGAGCAAGGGAGAGAACGGGATCCAGAGGGACATAAAACTGGGGAGAGAGGGAGGGCAGGGGGTACGAGGAAGGCTTAGTGACTGCCGACTCTCTGTGCTTGGGTGTCACTTGAATCCTCATAGAACCTGTGAGCGTCAGGTGAGCTTGCCCTCATTTCACAGATGAGAAAATGGAGATGATGACCTTGTCTGTTCAAGGTCCAAGGTCTAGGTTCAAACCCAGATTTGCTAAATTCCAAAGGCCATGTGCTTTTTACTTTGCAATCAAGGTCACGTGCCATGGTTAGGATAAGTGTTCCATAGACTGCTACAATGCCTCACGAATATATTTGGGAGAATAACCTTCACCCTAACTCTGCAAGTAGCCCTGAGGTCCAGCTGTTTCACGTCCATTGCAGCTTGAGCTGACATGGCAGGCGTCTCCATGGGCTCTCAGAACCAGAGGAACCGGGAACAACACAAGTAGGTTGGTGACAAATCAGGGGAGAGATGAGGCTGCATTGGAAGATGCAGTCGGGAGGACCTTCCAAAGTGCGAGTTTGTACCATGTGACCAAGAGCTGGTTAACCATTTCTCAAAGTGTGAAATACCACATCTTCAGTTTTCCCTGTAAACATTACCACTTCGGTGGACTTTTCTGACCCCCCGTCTAAATAAGTTCACCCAGTGTACTCTTTAAGGTACCATATTCTTTTTCCTCTTTATCATGGGGTATACATTTTTATTGCCGTATTTCTTGTGGAAATTTTCCATTTGGGGTTATGAGTTTAAGGTTCACTATCTCACATTTCCTTCTAGCAGGAAAAAGACCTTGTTCGTTTTGTTTGCCAATATGTCTCCAGAGAGTAGAATAGGACCTGGCTCAGACAGGCTTAATCACTGGTTACTGAGACAATGAGTGAGTGAGTGAATGAATGAGTGAGTGGATGAAGGAGTAAGTGAATGCACTAGACCCATTATGTATAACCCTCGGGCCTTGCCCTCAAGGGCATTCACGTGCACAGGGAGATAGGCCGTACATGCACGGAGTCAAGCCACTGAATCATGCAGCAGATGACCGCGCATCCACGTGCATCCCACAGAGAGGAAGACCCCTGAGGATTCAGAAGCGGCCGTATTTGTTGGGCTGAACAGGCTGCAAGGGAGATAGGAGACCTTAGAAGGTCCTTGAAGTATAGATAGGATTTACAAATCCTTGCTGTGGCCATTTTTGTTGTTGTTCTGCAAAGGACAAACCAGGTTTGCTTACTAGACAGTCAGAGACTCTGCAGTGCCACAGACTAGAAACAAAGGCAACTGTGGTTTTAGCTAAAAAGTGCTGAGCCCGCATTTCCACTGGCCAACTACTGCATGATGGATCTTCGAAGGGCACGGGCTTCAAAGTCAGCTTCTTAGTGCCTGGAGACACGCGTTTGAGTCCTTGAAAGGGGCTCATGGAGGTTGTCAACGGGAGAACTCTTACAGGGGACCCCAACCCTATTGCTCTGTTTTAAGAATGCATCTAAGAAGGCTCGTGTACACAGGGATTTCCACACAGCATGCTTAAAAACCCCCACAGATACAAAACATCCATCTCAATAAGCTATTTTAGACCGCAAAGTCTTGAGATTTTTTAATTTCATTAAAAAATGTGTTTATACATAATTAGTGGCAGGAATAAAGGAGCAACAGAAATATCATGACCTTAGCCAAGAGGGCAGGAACATTTTTGTAAAAATCTGGCATTGTAACCTCAGACACGTGCCATGGTCAGGGGTAGGGGAGAACATGCTCTGTCACTTTCTTCCTAGATGCAAGGCCAACGACACAGTGAATTATGACCATCGTGACCCAACTCAGGTGATGGCCTTGAGGAAGGCAGAGTTAGAAAGGGGTGTTCTTCTGTTGAAAGAAGTGCAGATGAGCGGACCTTAGCCCTGGTGACACGTGAGGGCGTCATCTCAACTAATTTAGACTTTCATCAAAATTCATCCCCCCACTCCCTGACCTTGCCCATCCCCGGCTTTTCAGATGGGGGCTATGAAGAATGTTGTATGTCCTGAAGATAATCATTTTAAACTGATGCCCTCCTTAGCACAGGTCTCAGTATGTTCTTGCGATTCCACAGGACAGATTTGTTGGTGCACACCTTCCAACTCAGCAGGAGAAAACAGCAAGGCACGTCATGCTTTCATGACGCAGTTCAACCCCAGGACTAAATTTAACAAGCCTGTGACTTCTCAGCTTTCTTTCCTGCTCACTGTGGGCCCTGATGGTTTTCCACTAGAGGGCTCCCCCTCCCCTGATATTAATAGGGTACGCCTCCATCCTCTCCTGGGAGGCAGAAAAGAGTAAGTTCATGGCTAAGGCGACCATGTATGTGCAGGCTGAATGGATGTTGTACAGAAGGGCATCTAAGGGCTTATTTACTCGCACACGGACGCTACAGTACACAGTGACAGCCGTTCCTGGCATCTGCAAAATATTAACAGATAAATCAAAATTTGTTTCTTAAAAATCTACAACCCTAAGAGTTTTGCTACTGTGGTTACAGGAGACAGAAACAGGAAAGAGAAGATTTCCAAATATTCGCTGGGCTTTTATTCTATGCAAATCCGGATTATTGGCAACTTCACTAAAAATATAATCAAGGGGGAGAAAGCCATTCCTGGACACTTTTCCCATGGCCAATCTATCCACCAATCCACCTCCTCCCTTTCCCCCCCATCCCCTACAAACTGAGACACCAAAACATCACTCCCCTCTCCCTGGTCCCTCCTTGTTGGCATTGTCAAGGAGTGTGACACTCCCTGGGTTCCACACAGGCTTTGTTGACTCAGTTCTCCTAGAGCAGGCTTCCGAGGGAGTAGCCCTGATCCTAAAGAGATGCTAAGCAGCAGAATAGTAATGCAGATGAGCTCGTCCCTGGGGTTGCAATGGCTGAAAACCTGAAGTGAACCAATAAGATTAGAAATACAAAAACTGAGTGGCGGTACCAACGGAGCCAAGGGTGGTGAGGTGTCTGCCCTCCTTTCTTGATAACTTATAAACGTTTCTGCAGACCCATTTGTGGTTCCCACAATGACTCCATCAGGTTTCGGCGCTGTTTGGGGGAGGCAGGATGGCAGCTCAGCCCAGATCAAAACATCGACATACACAGTCTCCTGCTGTCTGTCACCCTGCCACCAAAGGCCCGCAGTGCATCGGTCGGATTTTAATATTGGTTTCTGTGCAGAACACAAATAAAAATCCAGCCAGTTGATCCACACCGAGCAGGTTGTTTGTCTCAAGGATGATCTAAACCCTATCATTTTCATACAATTTCAGCCTTGCAGCCTCTAAAGATACTTTCTCCACGTGGCTGTTACACCTAAAATTAGTATTCAGGTTTCCAGGCACACAGCCTGCTCATTACCCCAGACCTTGGCCTTCTCCTGCCTCCTCCGACCTTGGGGACAGACACCTTGGGGACAGCCGGGTGGGGTACCTGCATTTCATCAGCATTCGTGAATCCCAAGGACAGCCAGCCTGGCCCCTAGGCTAAAGCAGAGAGCCTGGGATCCCAGAGAGAACAAGTGAATATTTTCAGACAACTAACTCTGCCTTGTCAGGCCGGACACAATGTTCTCTGCACCCCAAATGGCATACGTCAGGTTGTTCCAGAACGAGGCATATTGCAGTCTAATAGTTCTATGTCTCATTTTTAGAAATGCAAATATGCAGTTAAAATTTATGAGCAAGCCCTGGCCAGTGTGGCTCAGTTGGTTGGGTGTCCTTCTGTGCACGAAGAGGTTCTGGGTTTGATTCCCAGGTGGGGCACATGCCCAGGTTTCGGGCTTGACCCCTAGTAGGGGTTGTGCAGGAGGCAGCTGATTGATATTCCATCCTCACATCGATGTTTCTCTCTTCTCCTTTCCTCTCGCTCTAAAAATCAATAAAATATTCTTTACAAAATAAAGAAACTAAAATCTATGAGCAAAAAGAATGAACCCTCTAACCTTTTTTTTAAAGCCTGGTGTACTGAACAATGGACTGTCCCCTGGAGTAGAGGGCTGCCTCCTACATTGTCACCTCTCTTAGCAGGAAGTAAAGCAGAATTAGGGCTTTCACGTTGGGGCTATAGCTTATAATAGGTGAGTCTGGTCCTACTCTCTTCACCCACCCAGAAGTCCATCATCGGAGTCATCTAATCCACTGGCATGACTTTGGTCACTATATGTTGGCAGGTGCCTCCTTGCCCAAGGACCTGGAGGTATCTCAGACCCTTTCCTCTTCCTCATTTCCAACAGCCCCTCAATCTTCTACTCCCGATGGCTTTTCTGGAGTGATTTCTCTGGAATCTGGCTCCTTTTGTCAGCTCCATGATGCTGACTTCATGTTGGCCACCATCACCTCTGGATTCCATCACCTGGTCTTGCCCTCCTCCACACAGCCACC